TGGCTGAATCACTGCCTGTTGATAAACTTTGTCACTGAGACCCTGCTGCTTCTGTCGTGAAGCTCTAGTCGAGAGAAGCCGTATGTTTTGCCCGTTCAGTTTCTCCAGCGTCGTTCTCGTTGCTTCCCCTGGTAAGGTTACCAGTGTGGGATGGTTTCTTCCATTTTCTTCCGGTCTTTGTGCCGCCTATCTTGTGCTGGTGTTGAGCGGGTTCGAGGCTCTATTACACCTCTCAACTGGTACCCTCGTATAGTGCGGCCGTGGATGATTTCAAAATAATTGACAAGCATATGGCTGAATCTCCGCCTGTTGATAAACCACGTTACTGAGGCCTGATGATTTGAAGCTTTGGGAGACGAGAGTGAAACCAGGGGTCAGTCGGGGTGGTCATCCTGTCTTTTGTCTTCTTTTCTCTCCCTTGGGGCGGTCAGCGTGGCAGATGTTGATTGAAGTATGCATAGTTCAGATGAGACGCACTCGTGCGTCCGGGAAAACTTTTGTTTCGCCCCTATCTGATGCCACAAACCCCCCGTTTTCTTCAGCTGTCACCGCTACTTCTGCTGCTCGTTTCTCTCCGTCCCTGTTTCTTTTCCCTCGTTTCCTCCTGTGCGTCTCTTAGTACGTCGTCTCTGTACATTGGTTGATGCATTGAAGGGTTTGAGTGATGTTTGGGATAGTTTGAAGGTAGGGATGCTGAGTGAGGGCATGATGAGCATTTTCTTATCACACTAAGATTTTCTCATGTTGACTTCAAAATGACAAAGGCGCTGACCCTTGTTATTGTTACTTGTGATGAGGTGGGATTCAATAGCCAGGTAGGGAGGAGGGGACGGGGCTGGAGAGGAGAAGGGAGGGTATGATGAGCACACTTTCACACAGTTATCCCTGACTGAACTTTTGTGTTGACTCATGAATTACTACGGTGCTGACCCTCGTTATTGTCACTAGAGATGAGGTGGGATTCTAGAGCTCAGGTAGGGAGGAGCAGGTTATAATGAGAGGACTAGAGAGGGAGGGTATGATGAGCACTTTTTCATCACAGTTATCCCTGACTGAACTTCCGTGTTGACTCAAAATTACTACGGTGCTGACCCTCCTGATTTAGTCGGTAGGTGTGGGAAGGCTTTCAGTTTGCTCTATCTAGGTCTTGTCTGGGTTGTGTTGGGGTGGATTGGGTTGAGAAGTTTTTTTGGTGGGTGTGGGAGCAAGGCAAATGTTGATTGAAGTTATGCATAGTTCAGATGAGACACATTTGTGTCCGTGAAAAGCTTATTTTCGCCCCTATCTGATGCCACGAGACCCACCTGCTGTCTGCTGTTACGCTCTACAACTGTTTCTGTATCTGTCTCCCTGCAACTGTTATTTTTTTCCTTGCTTCTGGAAGGGGAATGATGAGCACACTTTCATCACAGTTATCCCTGACTGAACTTTCGTGTTGACTCATGAATTACTACGGTGCTGACCCCTTCAGTGCTTCTCGTTTCAAGTGTACGATCATGCCCTTTCACCCAGCCCGAATGGCCTGTAACTTGGCATCTCTATGTGTCTCTCCCTGTCGCGCCCTCTGTCTCTCCCTCAACAGGTGTGTGCGCAGGCAGCCAACGCGAATCCGCTCTACCTGTCGTTTCAGAAGGGCTTTGAGCAGTTTGAGCCAGTGCGGGCGACGCAGACCTTCGCCTCTGCCATCCAGATTGGCGACCCTGTGTCCATCGACCGAGCTATCTTTGCGCTGAAGGTGGGTACAGAAGTTTTTTCCCCTGCCATCCAGATTGGCGACCCTGTGTCCATCGACCGAGCTATCTTTGCGCTGAAGGTGGGTACAGAAGTTTTTTCCCCTGCCATCCAGATTGGCGACCCTGTGTCCATCGACCGAGCTATCTTTGCGCTGAAGGTGGGTACAGAAGTTTTTTCCCCTGCCATCCAGATTGGCGACCCTGTGTCCATCGACCGAGCCATCTTTGCGCTGAAGGTAGGCTGAGCTCTGATGCACTCAATCTTGGCCCTGATATGCTCTGATATTTCAACTGTTTGGTGGGAGTGGTGGGATGTTCCCTGGGCCTGTGCTGGGTATGTTTGCTCCATTCAAGCATGTTTGATCCTGTCTCTTGCCCTCACTAGGCATCCAATGGCATAGTGGAGGAGGCTACGGATTAAGAGCTCATGGACGCTGTGGCAGAAGCAGATGATGCCTCCCTGCTTTTTCCCTCTCAACCGCCTTCCCTCGTGTCCGTTCTCCCTTCCCAAATTTCTCTCCTCTCCCTGACCAGGCATCCAATGGCATAGTGGAGGAGGCTACCGAGCAAGAGCTCATGGACGCTGCAGCAGAGGCGGATCTCACTGGCATGTTCAACTGCCCACACACAGGAGTGAGTGCCCTTTTTCTCTTGTATCTGCTCCTCCAAAGTGCAATGCTACGTGAACTTTTTGTATTGTCTGTAAGTTTTTTTGCTCATTTCCCCCTCAGGTTGCACTTACTGGATATGCTGATTTTTTTCTCTTTTCTCCTCCCTTTCCCTCCTGCAGGTGGCTCTGGCAGCTCTGAAGAAGCTGCGCAGTCGGGGAGTGATTGGTCCCAATGATCGCACGGTGGTGGTCAGCACAGCACACGGCCTCAAGTTTGCCCAATCCAAGGTAAGGCAATTAACCTGGAAAGCACTGAAGCTCAACCAGGGAAAAATGGAGAGTGACGTTTGGGGTCGACTGCTGATGGAAATCCTTGTCTGCTCTGGATAACCTGTATCATTTTTTTTGTGATGCGTTCAGGTGGCGTATCACTCGAATGAGATCCCTGGCATGGTGTCGACGTTTGCCAACCCTCCTGTGAGCGTGAAGGACAACTTGGGAAGTGTCATGGATGTGTTGAGAGAGCGCATTGCCAAGTAACCTGATATGTAGGCTACTAATACTTTATACAACAGCTTGGTAATAAGCACAGAGCTTTCCGAAACTTTCATTCTTGGATGATATTTGGTTTAGGAATGGTCTCGAGTTAAATGTGGCGCTGTACTAAGCGATTGAAACATGAATACTCGAACTAATAGTGCAATTTCGAGGGGTGGTGATGATGATAAGCCTCAACAATGCGACGTGAAGCACCAGACGAACCAATCGTTCCATCCATAAGACCCGGAGTGCCACCGAGTCTGACACGGCGAGCCATTGTGAGTGCAGCAACAGCACCGGCAATTCTGGGTCATCGCGGTGCGCATAACGAGTCCAGGTTCTGACCGACGACGACCTGTAACGGGAATAAAATGGACATTGCTGCTGTAGGATGGTGAGGGAGCACAAGTCCCCGTCAAAGTAGTGAAAGTCATTTGTGCTGAGTTGAAGCGGAGCGGTTGAGAAAGATCATGTGCACTTTAGACTGGTTCCATTGCTTCACCGCTTTGAACCACTTGCGGGAATGTTTTCTCCTTTCCACCATGAAGCTTGATAGTGCAGAGAGTGCAAGAACAGCCGCCAGCAGCGTCACGACGACTACACTAATGTGTGTGCTGACCAGAGAGTGTTGCTGATAGTGAGCACGCAAATCAGGAAGGATAGCCTTTACAGCCATTGCTGCTTATCAGGCGTCTCTAGCAGTAGGCAGGCATCGGAGTGCTAGCTGATAGCGTTTCTCATGCACTCCTGCACAATTCTGCTGTCGTCTGAGCACTGCCATGACTGCAGTAGCGTTTCGACCGCTTTCGTTCAGACTCCCATTATAAAGACTGTCAATTCACGCCGAGATGTTGCTTGAACGTCTGTTCGCGAATCGTCGTTTGAACGTTGATTAGTTACATCTGAACTGGTGCCTCTTGCTTGACCGTTGATTCGTCCAGCTCTGAGATGCCGAGTCGCGGCTCTCGCTCTGCTTCACGCTTGCTAGACCAAGGCAAGCCGGTTGTTGCGGAAGGCCATGGATTTTCGACCCTTCAATAGTAACGGTCCCTCTCTCTTCGGTGGTTACCGCGGTAGTCGCACGCACAGGTCGCACGTACCACGCTGTAGAAGCTGTTTCTCGCGACGTCTATAACCACGTTCCAGACGACTTCCGCGACAGCCGCGCATATGAACCTCAATATAGAAAGCCTCGCCAGATTATACAGATAAGCTGACCGTTAGGACCAGCTTCGGAGTTTTTCTAGGCAAGCTTCATTAGTCAAATAAGCCAGCATTATTACCATCTAATAAAGCTAGGAGAACATAATATGCTGGATATATAGTCGAATCGTCTGTTGCCGGTCTGACAGTCCTTCGCTAGACCAGCTAGCTATTCTTAACACCTTACATGGTGTTACCATAAAATAACGCGCTTGCGAAAGCAGCAACACCACCAGCCACGAAACCTCCTTAAAACGCGTACAGCAGTAGCTACGCTCATGGCAGTCTCCGATCCTTGTCTTGACGGTCGCAATCTCCAGTCCCAGCATCGTGTGAACCCACCGACTCAACATCGTCGCAAACACCTCCTCCAATCCCTCCGTCGCCAAAAGGCTGCATTCCCGTCCCTACACACCCTCCTCCTCCTCCCCATCCTTCTCCTCCTCCTCGTCCCACCCACACCCGGCTTCCATGGCCGTCTGTCGTCCGGAGTGTGTCTGGTCGCGGCTGCTCCGTTCCGCGTGACTGACGCCTACAAGCCCGTCTGTGGGGGCCTCCCTGCCAAACCCCCTCGCCACGGTGCGTACATTTTCTTCTCCTTCTCTTCCTCCTCGTCCCACCCTCTCCTTCTCCTCCCGGCTTCCCCAGCCGCCTGTTGCGCTGAGTGCGCCGGGTCGACTTTTGAGTCGACTCAAAAGGCCGTCTGTCATCCGGAGTGTGTCTGGTCGCGGCTGCTCCGTTCCGCGTGACTGACGCCTACAAGCCCGTCTGTGGGGGCCTCCCTGCCAACCCCCCACGTCACGGTGCGTACTTTACACAATGCACCTCAAAACACAAGCCCGTCTGGTCGCGTCTGCTCCATTCCGCGTGTGTGAGGCCTACAAGCCCGTCTGTGAGTGTTTCCGTCCTACCCAATGTCCCAGTCCCTTCGCTGCGTCTCCTCCCTGTCCCCTCCCCTCCATGCTTCACGCAGGCTGGAAGCGGTGGAGCGACCCCAGCACGTGGGGAAAGCAGTCCCTGATCTTCTGGGAGCAGCGCAAGAAGCTGACAACTCTCTTTCTCTCTTCTCCTTAATTCCCTAGTCCCTCCTCTCTGTGTTTCGCAGGCTGCAAGCGGTGGAGCGACCCCAGCACGTGGGGGGGGAAACAGTCTCTGCTCTCCTGTGTGTGGCGCAAGAAGTTGAAAGCAGGCTATCTTACTCTCTTCTTTCCAATCCTCCGCTCCCTCCGCTGCTCCTCAACCAGGATGGAAGCGGTGGAGCGACCCCAGCACGTGGGGAAAGCAGTCTCTCAAAGGGTGGCCCTTCCGCCTGGGCGTGCGTGGGTGGGTGTGTGGCAAGAAGCTGATAGTCTTACCTGGTGAAGCGGTGGAGCGACCCCAGCACATGGGGAAAGCAGTCGCTACTCCCCTGGGACAAGAAGCCCAAGGGGTGGCCCTTCCGCCTGGGCGTGCCTGGGCGCGGGCTGCTGCAGTGGCGGGACGTGACTATACCGTGTGGCGCGGCCATCCTGCTGGATGTGCCTGAAGTGAGGGTTGGGAGGCTCAAGATCAGGGGGTGGCTCAAGTGAGTCTGGGCGTGAGTGTGAGTGTGCTGTGAGTCTGACTGCTGTAGGTTCAATGGTAACTCTCCCCATCTCTCCCTCGCCCTCTCCTTCCGCTCATCTCTCTCCTCCCTCGTGTGGCGCAGCCATCCTGCGGGGTGTTCCTCAAGTGAGGGTTGGGAAGCTCAAGATCAAAGTGTGGTTGCTTATTTGAGTGTGAGTGTGCTGTAGATTTGGCTGTTGTTCTGAGGCGCCTCACTGGTTCCCAGCATTGACTCACATTCAATCCCCCTTCCCTTTTTTCCCCCTCCTCCCACCTCCCCCTTTCACTTCCTCTCTCCAGGGTCCTAGACTCGCCCAAGCTCCCTCACATCCGCGTCAGGGCCCGTTTCATCCTCGTTATGGGCCGCTTCACTGCAGGTTCCGCGTCCCGCCAGCTGTCCTCGCATCTCACGGTCACCCTGCACCCCAACACCGGATTCTCGGGCGGCAGGAAGCCGTACAAGCTCCGAAAAGTGCCGCCTGCTGACGCGAGAAACCCCCGAGACCTGGGGCACAAAGCGTTTGCTGTGGTACGTGTGAATGCACCCCTGACGACGCCCAATCACACACTGATGCGCCTAGACTCGCCCTTATCAGTTGTCCCTCACACACACGAGCACACACCCCTGAACGCACACCCTTGCCTTGTCTGTCTTTTGCTAAGCAGATGGGAGGGCAGGTGGACCGGCATGGCATGCCGGGGGGAGCTGACACCCCCTCGTGGGTGCGACTGGCAGCAACAGCAGCAGCAGGGGGGAGGAGGAGGTGGAGGAGAGGAATACAAATCCACACCCCGGAATTCACCCACTCACGCTTGCCTGTGTGTGCCTGTGTCTGTGCTGTGCTGCCACGTACGACCAGGTGGGAGGGCACGTGGACCTGCATGGCATGCCGGGGGGAGGAGACAACTCCTCGTGGGGGGTGCGACTGGTAGCGACAGCAGCAGCGGGGCAGGAGGAGAGGCACGGAAACTCACACCCTTGAATGTACCGACTCACACTTGCCTGTATCTGTGTTGTCACACATGCCAGGTGGGAGGACAGGTGGACGTGCATGGCATGCCAGGGGGAGCTGACACTCCCTCCTGGGTGCGACTGGCAGCAACAGCAGCAGAGGGAGGAGGAGGAGGAGTCGTGGCATACAAACACTAACACGCACCCCTGAATGCAACCACTTATGCTTGTCCGTGTTTCTCTTTTTGCTAAACCAGGTGGGAGGGCAGGTGGACTTGCATGGCATGCCGGGGGGAGCTGACACCCCCTCGTGGGTGCGACTGGCAGCAACAGCAGCAGCGGGGCAGAGGCAGCTGATTGTTGAAGGGGATGTGAGGGGGTGGCGCCCAGGCCTCTCTATTGCTGTTGCTTCTGCGAGTACTAACCTTAACGAGGCAGAGAGCCGAGAGATCGGATCAGGTGAGTCATTGGGTGTGCTCTGAGGTTATGCAGGGGCGTGCAGGGGCATGCAGGGGCATGCAGGGGCATGCAGGGGCATGCAGGGGCATGCAGGGGCATGCAGGGGCATGCAGGGGCATGCAGGGGCATGCAGGGGCATGCAGGGACAGCAGCAGCGGGGCAGAGGCAGCTGACTGTTGAGGGCGATGTGAGGGGGTGGCGCCCGGGGCTCTCTGTTGCTGTTGCCTGCATTGACCAGCACGGATTTCGATGAGGCAGAGAGCCGAGAGATCGAAGCAGGTGGGCCCGATTAGCAGTATGTGTGTGTGCTTTGGGGCATGCAGGGGCATGCAACTGATCGGTGCCCGATAGCTTTGGTGGTACCAACATCAGTAGTGCCCCACCCTCCCCTTCTCCTTCCCTCTCTCTTCTTCGCCCTCACAACAGTCGCCCTGGTCTCCCCAGCCACGTCCCTAGTCACTCCTTGCATCACCATCACTGCGCACCCCATAGCAGGGAGTTTTTGAGAATTCTCAGAAAGTCTCCCGAGCCACGTCCCTAGTCACTCCTCGCACCATCACTGCGGCCACCGCCCCTCCGCTCCCTCCCATCCCATCTCCCATCTCCCCCACCCCCCCTCACAACAGTCGCCCTGGTCTCTCCAGCCACCTCCCCACCCACCACCCGCATCACCCTCACATCGCCCCTCGCCCACACGCATGAGGGCACATCGGTGCCGGACGGCTTTGGTGGCACAGTGGATATCCGTGCTGAGGTGGCGCTGCTTGATAGGCAGATCGTCATTCAGGGCACGGACGAGCTTCCTCCTCACCAGTACGACGGTACGTGAAGCGCACACTTGGGTTGTTAGTTAGGCCCCCTCTATAAGGCTGAAGGTTTGGACTGTCAGTGCGTAACACACACGCTTGTCATTCAGGGCACAGACGAGCTTCCTCCCCACCAGAACGACGGTATGTGAGGGGCACACACTCAGGGGTCAGTTAGGCTCAGTTGGTAAGGCTGTTAGTTTTACGCTGTCAGCTCGGCACACAAGCGCTTGTCATCCAGGGCACGGACGATTCCTCCCCACCAGTACGACGGTATGTGAGGGGCACACACGCTTGGGCTGCTTTTGGGCACAGTAATAGAGTCTGTAAGTCTAGGCTGTGAGTTTAAGCTGTGAGTTTAGGCTGGGAGTTTAGGCTGTGAGTTTAGGCAGTGAATTTAGGTGTGAGTTTAGGCTGGGATTTAGGCTGTCCGTGCAGCAGCACACACGTGCTTGTCATTCAGGGCACGGACGAGCCTGCTTGTCATTCAGGGCACGGACGAGCCTGCTTGTCATTCAGGGCACGGACGAGCCTGCTCCACACCAACTCAGTCGGTGGTCATTCGCTACCCCCTGCACTTGCCTTTTGAGTCGACTCAAAAGTCACCTGGTGGTCAGTCGCTACACCCTGCACTTGCCTTTTGAGTCGACTCAAAGGTCACCTGGTGGTCGCTCGCTACCCCCTGCACTTGCCTTTTGAGTCGACTCAAAAGTCACCTGGTGATCGGTCGCTACCCTCTGCACTTGCCTTTTGAGTCGACTCAAAAGTCACCTGGTGATCGGTCGCTACCCCCTGCACTTGCCTTTTGAGTCGACTCAAAAGTCACCTGGTGATCGGTCGCTACCCTCTGCACTTGCCTTTTGAGTCGACTCAAAAGTCACCTGGTGATCGGTCGCTACCCTCTGCACTTGCCTTTTGAGTCGACTCAAAAGTCACCTGGTGATCGGTCGCTACCCTCTGCACTTGCCTTTTGAGTCGACTCAAAAGTCACCTGGTGGTTGCTCGCTACACCCTGCACTTGCTCGCCTGCACCCTCCCTGTTGACCCCACTCACCACTCCCTGTTGAATAAACTCCCCCTGTTTCCTCTTCATGTCCCATTTTGCGTTCCCCTCTACTCCCCCCTATCCTGTCCCCTTTTCCTTCCCCCCTTGCTCTCACAACTCCAAACCCAGGGAGTCACACTCACTTCATGGTGTACATGACTCGCACCCTTCCTGTCTCCCCCTTCCTCTATCCCCTTCCTCTACCCCCTTCCTCTACCCCCTTCCTCTCCCCCTGTGTTTTCCCTCTTCCCCTCTCTACCTCATACCCAGGGAGTCACTTTGTGGTATACATGACTCGCACCCAGGAAGCCATCGAGGGGATTCAGTTCCGAGGGCTGGGCAACCAAGGCACCCTTGGCCGCTACCCGCTCCACTACACTTCCACGTGTGCGGCCTCCCTGTTGACCCCACTCACCACTCTTTGAATGACACCCCCCTTTTCCCCTTCCTCTCCCTTTTTTCTCTCCCTCCTTCCTTTCCGGGCCCCTTCGTCTCCCCCTATCCTCCCCCCCTCACTTCCCCAAACCCAGGCGGGCACTTCATGGTCGATATGACGCGCACCTAGCAGGCTTTTGAGGCGCACCTAGCAGGCTTTTGAGGCGCACCTAGCAGGTCATCGAGGGGGTTCACTTCCGAGGGCTAGGCAACCAAGGCACGCTCGGCCGCTACCCCCTCCACTACACTTCCACGTGTGCGGCCTCCCTCTCATCTCCTGTCATCCCGTCCTCTCCCCTTCTCCACGCGGGCACTTCATGGTATACATGACTCGCACTCCTCAAGCAATCGAGGGGGTTCAGTTCAGAGGACTGGGCAACCAAGGCACCCTTGGCCGCTACCCCCTCCACTTCCATGTCTGTGGGCTCCCCGCGGACGCATCCCAGCCCACTCACCGCTGTTTAAATTGAGCCCTCTTTCCCCTGTTGTCCCCTCTTTTCCCTGTTGTCCCCTCTTTTCCCTGTTGTCCCCTCTTTTCCCTGTTGTCCCCTCTTTCCCCTGTTGTCCCCTCTTTTCCCTGTTGTCCCCTCTTTTCCCTGTTGTCCCCTCTTTTCCCTGTTGTCCCCTCTTTTCCCTGTTGTCGCCTCTTTTCCCTGTTGTCCCCTCTTTTCCCTGTTGTCCCCTCTTTTCCCTGTTGTCCCCTCTTTTCCCTGTTGTCCCCTCTTTTCCCTGTTGTCCCCTCTTTTCCCTGTTGTCCCCTCTTTTCCCTGTTGTCCCCTCTTTTCCCTGTTGTCCCCTCTTTTCCCTGTTGTGCCCTCTTTTCCCTGTTGTCCCCTCTTTTCCCTGTTGTCCCCTCTTTTCCCTGTTGTCCCCTCTTTTCCCTGTTGTCCCCTCTTTTCCCTGTTGTCCCCTCTTTTCCCTGTTGTCCCCTCTTTTCCCTGTTGTCCCCTCTTTTCCCTGTTGTCCCCTCTTTTCCCTGTTGTCCCCTCTTTTCCCTGTTGTCCCCTCTTTTCCCTGTTGTCCCCTCTTTTCCCTGTTGTCCCCTCTTTTCCCTGTTGTGCCCTCTTTTCCCTGTTGTCCCCTCTTTTCCCTGTTGTCCCCTCTTTTCCCTGTTGTCCCCTCTTTTCCCTGTTGTCCCCTCTTTTCCCTGTTGTCCCCTCTTTTCCCTGTTGTCCCCTCTTTTCCCTGTTGTCCCCTCTTTTCCCTGTTGTGCCCTCTTTTCCCTGTTGTCCCCTCTTTTCCCTGTTGTCCCCTCTTTTCCCTGTTGTCCCCTCTTTTCCCTGTTGTGCCCTCTTTCCCCTGTTGTCCCCTCTTTTCCCTGTTGTCCCCTCTTTTCCCTGTTGTCCCCTCTTTTCCCTGTTGTCCCCTCTTTTCCCTGTTGTCCCCTCTTTTCCCTGTTGTCCCCTCTTTTCCCTGTTGTGCCCTCTTTCCCCTGTTGTCCCCTCTTTTCCCTGTTGTCCCCTCTTTTCCCTGTTGTCCCCTCTTTTCCCTGTTGTCCCCTCTTTTCCCTGTTGTCCCCTCTTTTCCCTGTTGTCCCCTCTTTTCCCTGTTGTCCCCTCTTTTCCCTGTTGTCCCCTCTTTTCCCTGTTGTCCCCTCTTTTCCCTGTTGTCCCCTCTTTTCCCTGTTGTCCCCTCTTTCCCCTGTTGTCCCCTCTTTTCCCTGTTGTCCCCTCTTTTCCCTGTTGTCCCCTCTTTTCCCTGTTGTCCCCTCTTTTCCCTGTTGTGCCCTCTTTCCCCTGTTGTCCCCTCTTTTCCCTGTTGTCCCCTCTTTTCCCTGTTGTCCCCTCTTTTCCCTGTTGTCCCCTCTTTTCCCTGTTGTGCCCTCTTTTCCCTGTTGTCCCCTCTTTTCCCTGTTGTCCCCTCTTTTCCCTGTTGTGCCCTCTTTCCCCTGTTGTCCCCTCTTTTCCCTGTTGTCCCCTCTTTTCCCTGTTGTCCCCTCTTTTCCCTGTTGTCCCCTCTTTTCCCTGTTGTGCCCTCTTTTCCCTGTTGTCCCCTCTTTTCCCTGTTGTCCCCTCTTTTCCCTGTTGTCCCCTCTTTTCCCTGTTGTCCCCTCTTTTCCCTGTTGTCCCCTCTTTTCCCTGTTGTCCCCTCTTTTCCCTGTTGTCCCCTCTTTTCCCTGTTGTCCCCTCTTTTCCCTGTTGTGCCCTCTTTTCCCTGTTGTCCCCTCTTTTCCCTGTTGTCCCCTCTTTTCCCTGTTGTCCCCTCTTTTCCCTGTTGTCCCCTCTTTTCCCTGTTGTCCCCTCTTTTCCCTGTTGTGCCCTCTTTCCCCTGTTGTCCCCTCTTTTCCCTGTTGTCCCCTCTTTTCCCTGTTGTCCCCTCTTTTCCCTGTTGTCCCCTCTTTTCCCTGTTGTGCCCTCTTTTCCCTGTTGTCCCCTCTTTTCCCTGTTGTCCCCTCTTTTCCCTGTTGTGCCCTCTTTCCCCTGTTGTCCCCTCTTTTCCCTGTTGTCCCCTCTTTTCCCTGTTGTCCCCTCTTTTCCCTGTTGTCCCCTCTTTTCCCTGTTGTGCCCTCTTTTCCCTGTTGTCCCCTCTTTTCCCTGTTGTCCCCTCTTTTCCCTGTTGTCCCCTCTTTTCCCTGTTGTCCCCTCTTTTCCCTGTTGTCCCCTCTTTTCCCTGTTGTCCCCTCTTTTCCCTGTTGTCCCCTCTTTTCCCTGTTGTCCCCTCTTTTCCCTGTTGTCCCCTCTTTTCCCTGTTGTCCCCTCTTTTCCCTGTTGTCCCCTCTTTTCCCTGTTGTCCCCTCTTTTCCCTGTTGTCCCCTCTTTTCCCTGTTGTGCCCTCTTTCCCCTGTTGTCCCCTCTTTTCCCTGTTGTCCCCTCTTTTCCCTGTTGTCCCCTCTTTTCCCTGTTGTCCCCTCTTTTCCCTGTTGTCCCCTCTTTTCCCTGTTGTCCCCTCTTTTCCCTGTTGTCCCCTCTTTTCCCTGTTGTCCCCTCTTTTCCCTGTTGTGCCCTCTTTCCCCTGTTGTCCCCTCTTTTCCCTGTTGTCCCCTCTTTTCCCTGTTGTCCCCTCTTTTCCCTGTTGTCCCCTCTTTTCCCTGTTGTCCCCTCTTTTCCCTGTTGTCCCCTCTTTTCCCTGTTGTCCCCTCTTTTCCCTGTTGTCCCCTCTTTTCCCTGTTGTCCCCTCTTTTCCCTGTTGTCCCCTCTTTTCCCTGTTGTCCCCTCTTTTCCCTGTTGTCCCCTCTTTTCCCTGTTGTCCCCTCTTTTCCCTGTTGTCCCCTCTTTTCCCTGTTGTCCCCTCTTTTCCCTGTTGTCCCCTCTTTTCCCTGTTGTCCCCTCTTTTCCCTGTTGTCCCCTCTTTTCCCTGTTGTCCCCTCTTTTCCCTGTTGTCCCCTCTTTTCCCTGTTGTCTTGTCCCCTCTTTTCCCTGTTGTCCCCTCTTTTCCCTGTTGTCCCCTCTTTTCCCTGTTGTCCCCTCTTTTCCCTGTTGTCCCCTCTTTTCCCTGTTGTCCCCTCTTTTCCCTGTTGTCCCCTCTTTTCCCTGTTGTCCCCTCTTTTCCCTGTTGTCCCCTCTTTTCCCTGTTGTCCCCTCTTTTCCCTGTTGTCCCCTCTTTTCCCTGTTGTCCCCTCTTTTCCCTGTTGTCCCCTCTTTTCCCTGTTGTCCCCTCTTTTCCCTGTTGTCCCCTCTTTTCCCTGTTGTCCCCTCTTTTCCCTGTTGTCCCCTCTTTTCCCTGTTGTCCCCTCTTTTCCCTGTTGTCCCCTCTTTTCCCTGTTGTCCCCTCTTTTCCCTGTTGTCCCCTCTTTTCCCTGTTGTCCCCTCTTTTCCCTGTTGTCCCCTCTTTTCCCTGTTGTCCCCTCTTTTCCCTGTTGTCCCCTCTTTTCCCTGTTGTCCCCTCTTTTCCCTGTTGTCCCCTCTTTTCCCTGTTGTCCCCTCGTTTCCCTGTTGTCCCCTCTTTTCCCTGTTGTGCCCTCTTTCCCCTGTTGTCCCCTCTTTTCCCTGTTGTCCCCTCTTTTCCCTGTTGTCCCCTCTTTTCCCTGTTGTCCCCTCTTTTCCCTGTTGTCCCCTCTTTTCCCTGTTGTCCCCTCTTTTCCCTGTTGTCCCCTCTTTTCCCTGTTGTCCCCTCTTTTCCCTGTTGTCCCCTCTTTTCCCTGTTGTCCCCTCTTTTCCCTGTTGTCCCCTCTTTTCCCTGTTGTCCCCTCTTTTTCCCTGTTGTCCCCTCTTTTCCCTGTTGTCCCCTCTTTTCCCTGTTGTCCCCTCTTTTCCCTGTTGTCCCCTCTTTTCCCTGTTGTCCCCTCTTTTCCCTGTTGTCCCCTCTTTTCCCTGTTGTCCCCTCTTTTCCCTGTTGTCCCCTCTTTTCCCTGTTGTCCCCTCTTTTCCCTGTTGTCCCCTCTTTTCCCTGTTGTCCCCTCTTTTCCCTGTTGTCCCCTCTTTTCCCTGTTGTCCCCTCTTTCCCCTGTTGTCCCCTCTTTTCCCCCTCCGATCCCCCCTTCCTCTCCCCGCCAACCCCCCCACCCCTACCAGGCGAGCACTTCATGGTATACATGACGCGCACCCCTCAAGCCATCGAGGGGGTTCAGTTCCGAGGGCTGGGCAACCAAGGCACCCTCGGGCGCTACCCGCTCCACTTCCACGTGTGCAGGCTCCCCGCGGAAAACAACTTCCTTTCCCCTCGTTGTCTTCCTTCCCCCCAACAGGCGGGCACTTCATGGTCTATATGACTCGCACTCCTCAAACCATCGAAGGTGTTCAGTTCCGCGGACTAGGCAACCAAGGCACGCTCGGCCGCTACCCCCTTCACTTGTGCAGGCTCCCCGCGGACGCATCCTCCTTTCACCCTTCCTTTCCCCTCGTGGTCTTCCTTCCCCCCCACCAGGCGGTCACTTCATTATCTATATGACTCGCACTCCTCAAATCATCGAAGGTGTTCAGTTCCACGGACTAGGCAACCAAGGCACGCTCGGCCGCCACCCGCTCCACTTCCACGTGTGCGGGCTCCCCGCGGACGCATCCTCCTTTCACCCTTCCTTTCCCCTCGTGGTCTTCCTTCCCCCCCACCAGGCGGGCACTTCATTATCTATATGACTCGCACCCCTCAAACCATCGAAGGTGTTCAGTTCAGGGGACTCGGCAACCAAGGCACGCTCGGGCGCTACCCCCTCCACTTCCACGTGTGCGGGCTCCCCGCGGACGCATCCTCCTTTCACCCTTCCTTTCCCCTCGTGGTCTTCCTTCCCCCCCACCAGGCGGGCACTTCATTATCTATATGACTCGCACCCCTCAAACCATCGAAGGTGTTCAGTTCAGGGGACTCGGCAACCAAGGCACGCTCGGGCGCTACCCCCTCCACTTCCACGTCTGCGGGCTCCCCGCGGACGCATCTCAGCCGCATATCGTGCGGAAGAACGCGATCGTGCACTCGAAGCAACGGTGCATGGTGATCCACGCGACCAGCAACATGAACATAGAGGATAATATCACCTATGAGACCAAGGGGCACTGTTACGTGGTGGAGGAGGGGTCGGAGATGGGGAACGTGTTTCGGAGGAACCTGGGGATGAGTGTGAGGAAGGTGGAGAAGGAGATCCCCCCGGATACAAGTGATCGGTATGGGTTCCACACGGACAAGCAACCGAGCGTGTTCTGGATGGCCACTCCCTATAACAGCTTCTATGGGAATGTTGCTGCTGGTTCGGAGAACAGCGGGTGAGTGGGATTGAGAATAGAGGAGTGGAGTGGAGTGGGGTGGAGTGGAGTAGGGTTGAGTCTAGCTGGCGTTTCACACGGACAAGCAGCCGAGCGTGTTCTGGAAGGCCACTCCCTGTAACAGCTCACAACAGCTTCTATGGGAACGTGGCTGCTGGGTCCGAGAACAGCGGGTGAGTGGAGTGGAGTGGAGTGGAGTGGAGTGGAGTGGAGTGGAGTGGAGTGGAGTTGAGTGGAGTGGAGTTGAGTGGAGTGGGGAGGTTGTGTTTTGTTTCAGGCACCTCAAACACCTCACTCACGATTCCCCCGGACACGACGGACCGGTATGGGTTTCACACGGACAAGCAGCCAAGCAGGTTCTGGCTGGCAACGCCCTTCAATAGCTTCTATGGGGACGTGGCTGCTGGGTCGGAGAACAGCGGGTGAGTGGAATCGAGACGATTCGAGATATTTTGAGTCAAGTCGAGCTTATTCTTCCATTGCCAACTGTCAACACCCCCCAAACCCCCTCTCCCCACATTCTCTTCTCCCATCGTGCCAGCTTCTGGCTGGAGGCCAACCCCACCATGCGGGGCATCTCCCTACGTTGATGTGACTTTTGAGAATTCTCAAGAGTAACATCATCTCCCAGCACCTCCTCCTCTCACTAACCGCCTTGTCGCTCCCCTTTGTCTTTCCCCCTGTCACCCCCTCAGCTTCTGGCTGGAGGCCAACCCCACCATGAGGGGCATCTCCCGCCTGCTGCCTGCCATCGGCAACAAACGGCCTGACAGGTGGGCGTGGGGGCGTGGGGGTTGTGAGTTTTGTCCGGGCGTGGGGGAATGTGGGTATGTGAGCATGGTATGTGAGCATGGTATGTGGGTATGTGAGCATGGTATGTGGGTATGTGAGCATGGTATGTGGGTATGTGAGCATGGTATGTGGGTATGTGAGCATGGTATGTGAGCATGGTATGTGGGTATGTGAGCATGGTATGTGAGCATGGTATGTGAGCATGGTATGTGGGGGTGCGCACCCCACCGTGCGGGGCATCTCGCGCCTGCTGCCTGCCATCGGCAACGCCTTTGGGTCGCTCACCCTTGTTTATCCGTTTTCCTGCTGTCTCACTCACATCCCTGCCTATCACATTGCCCCTGCTTCCTCGCACCCGTTCTCCCACGTGCATGCATCTGCAGGTTCAACTGGGGGGACTATGTGGGCAATGTTGCCCACTCCTCGCTCTTTGGCTTCCGTATGTACCCCCACGGCTCGCAGTCCCGCTTCCCCGGCTACACTGGCATGATTACTCATCTCAAGGACACACTCTTTTCGCCCCTCCTCACCTCGAATGTGCAGGTTCAACTGGGGAGAATATGTGGGTAATGTCGCGCACTCCTCGCTCTTTGGCTTCCGCACATACCCCCACGGCTCTCAGTCCCGCTTCCCCGACTACACTGGGGTGATCACGTATCTCAAGGACGCCCTCTTTTATCGGAACAAGGCTGGGTGAGTCAAAGCCTTCATTACTGAACAATTGGAGTCTTGAAATCCGCTACCTCAACTACACTGGCGTGATCACATACCTCATGGACACGTTCTCTTTCATTGGAACTAGGCTTGTTTTGAGATGTCTCAAAACACGCTATTCAACTACACTGGGGTGATCACGTACCTCATGGACACGCTCTCTTTTATTGGAACTAGGCTTGGTGAGTCAAACCTGACAGTGCCTTTTGAGTCGACTCAAAACTCGCTGCGCATTTCTATCATTCCACTAAAAGCCCCTTTGCCCGTCCTCCCTTGTTTTGAGGCGCCTCAAAACTAAACCTGACAGTGCGCATTTCTATCTTTCCACTAAAAGCCCCTTTGCCCGTCCTCCCTTGTTTTGAGGCGCCTCAAAACTAAACCTGACAGTGCGCATTTCTATCATTCCACTAAAAGCCCCTTTGCCCGTCCCCCCTTGTCCCCTGTTCTTCTCCTCCCAGCATCCTCTTTGTGAACAGGGATTGCAGAGTGGTGGAGAACGGTGCATTTGTGGAGAATACAACATCCATCCTTCGTTCCCCCGTCCTCCCTTGTCCCTTGTTCTTGTCCTCTTTGTGAACACGGATGACTTAGTGGTGGAGAACGGTGCATTTGTGGAGAATACAACATCCATCCTTCGTTCCCCCGTCCTCCCTTGTCCCTTGTTCTTGTCCTCTTTGTGAACACGGATGACTTAGTGGTGGAGAACGGTGCATTTGTGAATTGACTCAAGCCCACCTGTCCCTTTCCGTCCCTTCACGACCTTCTTGGTCTTCTCTCCTCGATAATTCCCCTCCCCCCCAGCATTCTCTTTGTGAACACGGATCGCATAGTGGGTAATGAAGCATTTGTGTGTTGACGCAAGGCCACATGTTTCTCCTGTCCCGTCTTGGCCTTCTTGACCTTCCTTTCTCTTCCCTCCTCCCAGCATCCTCTTTGTGAACACGGATCGCATAGTGGTGGAGAACGGTGCATTTGTGGAGAATGCGTATGGGATGGACATAAGCCGCAACGGTGGGGTGACAGTCAAGGGGTGCCGCTTCGTGGGCACTCTCCCCTCCACCTGCACGTAAGTGAAGGGAAGGGAAGGGAAGGGAGTGAGTTGTACTTGCACCTTAAGGGGACGAGGAGGTCACATTGGACCTGCACGTAAGGAAAACGAACGCGTATGGGATGGATATCAGCCGCAACGGCTGGGTGATGGTCAAGGGGTGCGGATTCGTGTGGTGCAGTGTAAGAGCATGCGGTGCAGTGCGGTGCAGTGTATATGCGTGCGGTGCAGCGTATGTGCGTGCAGTGCAGCGTATGAGCGGGCGGTGCATTGTATGAGCGCGCGGTGCAGTCCGCAAGCTGGGACTGCAGCTCCCCAAGCTGGGACTGCAGCTCCAGTCCCCAAGCTGGGACTGCAGCTCCAGTCCCCAAGCTGGGACTGCAGCTCCAGTATGAGCGTGTGGTGCAGCGTATGGGCGAGCGGTGCAGTGTGCGGGCGGTGCGGCGTGCGGGCAGCGCAGCGCATGAGCGAGGGGTGCAGCGTATGTGCGTGCGGTGTAGTGCATGGGTGACGGGCAAGGGATGCCGCTTCGAGGCACCCTGCTTTCCACCCCCACGTAAGGGAACGGAAGGGAGTGACTTCTGCTTGCATGTGAGAGTGGCCGTCACGTATCTGTGAAGGTGTTTTGGGACGTCTCAAAACTCGGTTTCTAATGGCGATCTGACGGCCAAGGATCGGTGATTCTTGTTGGTCTTTCCCCATGTCTATTTTTCCCCCTGTCTCCCCTCTCCCCCTGTCTCCCCTCTCCCCCTGTCTCCCCTCTCCCTCTGTCTCTATCCATTGGTGCCTTTGTTCTGCTCTCACCCTCCCCGCCTATCCCTCTTCCCCTCTGTCGCCCTATCCCTCTTTCCGTCTTTCCCTGTGTTCCCAGTGCTAAGGCTATGGCTGCCATTCGCAGCAGCAGCAGCAGCAGCAGCAGCAGCAGCAGCAGCAGCAGCAGCAGCAGCAGCAGCAGCAGCAGCAGCAGCAGCAGCAGAATTAGCAGAAGCAGCGGCAGCAGCAAGAGCATGAGCCTTGGCAGCAGCAGTATCGCCAACAAGAGCAACCAGCCTTCAGCCACAGCTCCTGCCCCTCTCTCTCTTTCTTTCCACGGCCCCACCACAGAGTGGGAACCACCAGGCATGGCAGATGCCATCAAGCCATGGGCTGAGTTCCTCTATCCCTTTCCCAGTGACGATGGGGGAGACTATGGTGAGGATGGGGGTGATTATGATGATTATGGGGATTATGGCGGGGTTGGTGGGGGGGGTGGGACTGGTAGTAGCAACAGCACAGGCAGCAGCAGTGGCGGCAGCAGCACCAGTAGCAGCAGCAGCAGCAGCAGTGGAGAGGCGGAGATGGCATACAACATAACGGCAGGCGAGGTGCCTCCGTGGGCTGAGAGCTTCTGGCTGGGCTACTGGGACGAGCCCATGCAAGCAGCAGCAGCAGCAGCAGCAGCAGCAGCAGCAGGGCAGGGGCAAGCAGCAGTGGCCGGGCAGGGGCAAGCAGCAGTGGCCGGGCAGGGGCAAGCAGCAGTGCAGCAGTTGACTCGGACTTTGAAGGCAGCCGTGCAGGCAGTAGGAGTGCAAGCATCAGCAGCAGGGCAAGCAGAAGTAGCGGCGCAAGCAGCAGTGGTGGTGCCACAGAAGGAGATAGGGGATGGGTCTTTTGACTCGCCCATTGGAGTCACGCTGAGCCAGAGCAACCCTGTTGACATCCTGCGCCCCTCCTCCGTGGAACATTCCCTGTAAGTTCCTGCTTTGAGAGCTGGTAGTACGCAGTTCCTTCAAAGGAGCAACGCTGCTGACAACCTGCTTTGTTTCCTATCTTCGGTAGAGATACCGGGTTGACCTTCCCACCCACCTCCTTCATTTCTCCTTGTTCTCAACTGCCTTCCTTTCCTCAATGACTTTTGAGTCGACTCAAAAGTTGACCTTCCTTCCCACCCACCTCCTCCATTTCTCCTTGTTCTCAACTGCCTTCCTTTCCTCAATGACTTTTGAGTCGACTCAAAAGTTGACCTTCCTTCCCACCCACCTCCTCCATTTCTCCTTGTTCTCAACTGCCTTCCTTTCCTCAATGACTTTTGAGTCGACTCAAAAGTTGACCTTCCTTCCCACCCACCTCCTCCATTTCTCCTTGTTCTCAACTGCCTTCCTTTCCTCAATGACTTTTGAGTCGACTCAAAAGTTGACCTTCCTTCCCACCCACCTCCTCCATTTCTCCTTGTTCTCAACTGCCTTCCTTTCCTCAATGACTTTTGAGGCGCCTCAAAACTAGACCGGGTTGACCTTCCTTCCTTCCCACCCACCCACCTCCTTCATTTCTCCTTGTTCTCAACTGCCTTCCTTTCCTCAACTCCCCTTTTCGTGTGGCCCCTGCTCAGATTCTCTAACTATTAGCTTCGGCATCGCTCTATGTGTCGTCAGTTTCTTCCCCTCCCCATTTTCAGCCCCCTCCTTCCGTCCCATGCCTCCCCCCTTCTCAGCTTCTCAGGCTACGGCACATGCACCACTAATAGCTTCGGCATCGCTCTCGTGACCAACAAGCCGGGAGGCTACTGGAACACGGCCTTCTATGTGCAGGTGTGTTCCTAGTCGTGTTGTTGTTGGGTTTGGGTGGATGGGTGTGTTGCTGCTGCTGCTTCCGCTCACAAGTCGGGCGGCTACTGGAACACAGCCTTCTTTGTGCAGGTGTGCTGTGAGGTTTTGCCTCTACTATGCCACTGCCACTGCCACTGCCGCAACCATCACGTGCACCACTGGTAGCTTTGGCATTGCTCGCGTGACCAACAAGCCGGGCGGATACTGGAACACAGCTTTCTATGTGCAGGTGTGTTCCTGGTTGTGTTGTTGTTAGGTTTGGGTGGGTGGGTGTGCTGCTGCTGCTTCCGCTCACAAGCCAGGCGGCTACTGGAACACGGCCTTCTATGTGCAGGTGTGCTGTGAGGTTTTGCCTCTGCTATGCCACTGCCACTGCTACTGCCACTGCCACTGCCACTGCCGCAACCATCACGTACACCACTAATAGCTTTGCCATCGCTCTCGTGACCAACAAGCCCGGTGGTGTAGGGTTTTTTTTTTAGAATTCTAAAAAACACTCTTTGGTTGGTTTCATTAGCCTGGTGGCTACTGGAACACTGCTTTCTTTGTGCAGGTGTGGTGCGTCCTCTCACACCCACTCACTCACCACGGCTAGCTCTCACTGCTGCCAATGCATCCTTGCTCAGAGTCGCCTTCCTACTCAATGGTGGATGTAGTGCTGTCGATCTACAACCGCAATCCCCAAATTCTTATCTGCAAATTCTTATCTGCTGCCAATGCATCCTTGCTCAGAGTCACCTTCCTACTCAATGTGTATTCGTTCCTATTACCCACACCCTTCCGTCCTCTACCTTTCTCTCCCTTCCTCTCCCTTCGTCTCCCTTCCTCGCCCTTCCCCTCCCTTTCTCTCCCTTCCTCTCCCTTCCTCTCCCTTCTTCTCCCTTCTCCACTCCCCCCTCCCTTCCCCTTCTCCCACTCACAGAACAGTTCTTTCGCGTCGGGCAGCAAGAAATTCTGGGCCACGCCAAACGTCCTCTCTCTTTTCCCCCCTTCCTCTCTCCCTCTCCCTCCATCCATCCTTCAATTTCTCTCCCCTCTTCCTCTCTCAACCTTTCCCTTCTCAGAACAATTCATTCGCGTCAGGCAGCAAGAAATTCTGGGCCACGCCAAACCCGGTAAAAACACCCGTGATACAAGCATTCTCCGCACCTAGCCTCGTGTGGGCATTCTCCGCACCTAGCCTCGTGTGGGCATTCTCCGCACCTAGCCTCGTGTGGGCATTCTCCGCACCTAGCCTCGTGTGGGCATTCTCCGCACCTAGCCTCGTGTGGGCATTCTCAGCACCTAGCCTCGTGTAGGGTTGGGCATTCTCAGCACCTTGCCTCGTGTAGGGTTGGTTTATATGATTCTCAAAAGCACGCAAATTCTCTCAGAATTCTCAAAAGGCAAAAGCACCCTGCAAAAGCACCCTGCAAAAGCACCCTGCAAAAGCACCCTGCAAAAGCACCCTGCAAAAGCACCCTGCAAAAGCACCCTGCAAAAGCACCCTGCAAAAGCACCCTGCAAAAGCACCCTGCAAAAGCACCCTGCAAAAGCACCCTGCAAAAGCACCCTGCAAAAGCACCCTGCAAAAGCACCCTGCAAAAGCACCCTGCAAAAGCACCCTGGAAAAGCACCCTGCAAAAGCACCCTGCAAAAGCACCCTGCAAAAGCACCCTGCAAAAGCACCCTGCAAAAGCACCCTGGAAAAGCACCCTGCAAAAGCACCCTGCAAAAGCACCCTGCAAAAGCACCCTGCAAAAGCATCCTGCAAAAGCACCCTGCAAAAGCACCCTGCAAAAGCATTTTCAGCTCCTTGCCAAGTGTATCCCATTAGGCCCCAACCCCCCTCCCCCCCACTCCCCAGCCTTCAGCCACTCACCCCAGGGGGGGTCTCATTGCTCTCAGGGATCTCGACGGCTCTCTCTCTCCTCGGCACGCCAGGCACTTTCACAAGGCTCTTTTGGAGTTAATCCCATCGTCTCTCTCTCCTTGCATCTCCCCCCTCCCCAGCCTGCCACCACTCCCCCCTGGGGGGGTCTCATAGCGCGGTTCTACGCCCTCAGGGACCTCGACAGTTCTCTCCTCCTCGGCACGCCCGGCGCATTCGCAGTCGCCCCCTTCTCCCCCATCCTGCCACCTGCCTACCTCTCCTTCCCAACTCACTTCCCTCCCTCCCCTCTCCTCTGGCCTCGGTCTCCAATCTTTGAATTCCTTCTCCTCCCATCTCCCATGTTCGTTCTTTCTCTCGTTCACAACCCACAGCCTGCCGCCACTCCCCCCAGGGGGGGTCTCATAGCGCGGTTCTACGCCCTCAGGGATCTCGACGGCTCTCTCCTCGGCACGCCACAAGACTTCAACTCACGCCCATCCTCTTTCTCCTCGTTCACAACCCAACAGCCTGCCGCCACTCCCCCCAGGGGGGGACTCATAGCGCGGTTCTACGCCCTCAGGGATCTCGACGGCTCTCTCCTCGGCACGCCACAAGACTTCAACTCACGCCCATCCTCTTTCCCCTCGTTCACAACCCAACAGCCTGCCGCCACTCCTCCTCGAGGGGGACTCATCGCGCGGTTCTACGCCCTCAGGGATCTCGACGGTTCTCTCCTCGGCACGCCGGGCGCCTTCGCAGTCGCTCCCTTCTCCCCCATCCTGCCGCCTGCCACTGTGCGCCCCAGCCTGTGCCAGTACCGGGCTGAGAGCGCCGTGTGGCAGTGCCAATCGGTGTGCTACAGGGCAGTGGGCGTGTTCTACTATGAGCCGGGGGTGCGACCCAATGGGATGGATGGTCTACCTGCTAAAGTGCTCCGGCCTTACAGGTGAGCACTCAGAGCAATGTATCTTGTGGCTGAGAGTGCAGTGTGGCAGTGCCAGTCAGTGTGCTACAGGGCAGTGGGCGTGTTTTACTATGAGCCGGGTGTGCGGCCTAACGGGATGACCGGGCTTCCTTCGAAGGTGCTCTGGCCTTATAGGTGAGCATTGGTAGCAGTTTTTCTTCTGTGGGAGAGGGTCATGTGTGTGGCAGTGCCAGCCGGTCTGCTACAGGGCAGTGGGCATGTTTTAATACGAGCCAGGCGTGCGACCCAATGGGATGGCCGGTGTCGCGCTATTAACACATAGCCTGCGGCTAAGTGTGAATTGCACAGCAGCTTAAGGTGAGGTTGTACTATATTGCTGTTTGGTTCTTGTACTCATACTTTCGTTTGTGTGCTTGGAATGTACTGTACATATATGGAGCCGAGCAGGGTGGAGAAGCTCGAGGAATTTGGTGGGGACAGGGTGGAATTCGATTCCAGGCTGGGAATTCGATTCCAGGCTGGGAATTCGGTTCCAGGCTGGGAATTCGATTCAGAGAATGCAATTCCAGCTGGAAGTCGGTGCATGCCTAGTGGGCCACTAGGACCCAGCTAGCACCTAGAAGCTATCGCGAGCAGCACTGCTGCTATGCGACTTGGCAACTAGAGTTAGCTTGTGGGACAAGCAACCTAGGCAGAAGGATGGCTGGGACTTAGACAGGGGAGGATACCTGCTCCGTGCTTTTTGCTTGTTTGTTTCTCGTAATACTGCAATTCGTTTCCCAACCAAGGAGGCAAGCAGCTAGGAGAAGCTAACAGCAAACTGACGGAGCCCTTGCGAGGGAGGATTTAGACTTGTTGCAAACAAGCAAAAAGGTAGCGGTAGAGAAGCGTACGGGCGCAGAGGCCCGGTGTTAGCCACGGCGTCAGGGCCGTGAGGCATGAGCGATACGGATCCAGATCTACACATCCATCAGTTGCGGTCGGGACAGAGGTATCCCGCTAGGACTATGGAAGGTCGGGAAGAGCCGCCTGTGAAGCCTGGATTCCGTGCAGATGGAGGAGTTAATGAAACGCAGGGAGGAAAGGGCCCTGATCTGCCGAAGGAGGGTGGGAATCGTCAGGAGAAATTGCCCAGCTCGGTGCACAACTCGCCAGGACGACAGAGCGAGGCGAGATCTGGGCAGCAAGGATCGCAGCAAGGAACGCCTGAGCGTGGTGAGGCGCACAGACGGGAAGCAGAGCAGAACTTCAGAGAGGAGAATTTCCGTGGTCTATCCGGAGGGCGCAGTACCACCAGGGGGCCCGAGCAAGGGGGTTGGCCTGCAGGATGCAGAGAGAGGGAAGCCGCAAGCTGGGGGACAGGGAGGTCTTTGAACACGGCGCCCCCGAAGATCGAGATACTAGACCGCTTCTCAGGGGCACCAGGTGAAGAGCCAACACTGAAGAACTACCTTATGATGATTGATGATATACGGTACACCTGGGAGAGAGAGGGGTTAGATCCGATAGAATTTTTCAGAGGATTGGGAAGGACACTGAAAGGGGAGGCACTGACACACTATAGAGTGGAGCGTCAGGGGCTGCTGATGCAGTGCAAGAATGGGGATTTTGCGCAGGGAGAGATCACTGACCGATTTTTGGACACGCTGCGTGAGCAGTTCCCCGGGCACTCAGCTGAGCGTATGATAGAGTTCCAAGACTTTAAAAGAGGACGGGCAGAGTCGCTGCTGGCATACTACAACCGGCTGCTGGAGCTGGCTGAGGATATGGGCTGCGTTGAGGAGCGTACCTTGGTGACGAAATTCCTGGGGGGGTTGGAGGAGGAGCTGATGAATGAAATGAAAACACGTCTGTACGCTTTGGGGATGAAGGCGAGACTCAGGCAGGTGTATCAAGTGGCGAAAGAAGTGGAGGAAGGGCAGAGGTTCTTTGAAGGCTTGAGAGGAGCAAGCTCCAGCCGATCAAACGAGCGAAGGAGACCAGCCTGGGCAGCAGCTGAAGGAAGGAGGGGGGAGGAAGAACGAAGAGAGAAGCCCTGGGAAGACCCAAGGCGGTGCCATAAGTGTGGGGAAAAGGGGCATATATGGAAGGACTGCACAGTGGGCATTTTATGCGACACCTGTGGCGTGTAGGGGCACTTCAGGCGAGACTGCCCCAAGGCTCCCACCTGCACCAACTGCGGCAAGAAGGGACACACGAAAGAAAGGTGTTACAGCCGAGGAGAGAAGGAGAAAGGGAAGTCCGCGAGAGAGCTGCAGCTGGAAAGGGAGCTGGCGAAATTAAAGGCACAGAAGGAGAAGACTCAAGTCAGTGAGGATCCTGAGAAAGCGCTGCTAGCCTGGGAGGAAGACGAAGAAGAATCAGATGAGGAGGAACCGGAGTATGGTACGATGGCATTACAACCTAGACCGCGGGAAGAGTTGGGGCTGAGGAGCAAAGGGGTAGACGGCAGAGCCAATGAAAAGGCCTACGAGAGGAGAGGCCCCAAGATACAACCGAGTGGAGATGAGAAGCGGACAGCACGGCGACGGCCTGACGAGAGAATGGTGTGTCAGCCTACGGCGTTGGTAGCTGAACCCGGAGCGGTGGCTGTAAGAGGCATACAGGTGGATAACGCGGTGGTGGACACTGGGGCGCAGAGTGTGCTGATTGGGAGGAAGCTGGGGGAGCAACTGAAGGCTCAAGGGGACTTAGAGCTAGTGGAACGGGGATTACTCATCATGACGGCGGAAGGGGGAGCACCCAAATGGATGCCGTGCACAAAGGAGCCAATAGAGATTACGCTGCAGCCTGGGGAAAGGGGTGAGACCAAGATACGAATGCAGTGCGGGATGACAGAATCAGATGACTACGACATCCTGCTAGGCATGGAGCTGCTGTTTAGGGTGGGGGCGACAATATGTACTTGGGAGGAGCGGGTGCAGTACCGTACTGAACGTTGGAGGGAAGGAGGTGAGCTGGGCGAACTGCCGGTCAGGTTTGTTAAGACAGAACCCAAGAGGGCCTGGAGAGCAGGGGCGGTCAAGGGAGAGAGGAAGAATTGGGATGGAGAAAGCGCACTGGCAGGAATGGGGGCAAAGCTGAGTGAATACAGTGTGATGCTAGTGGAGCTATTCGGAGGCATAGGGGCGGGGCTTGCAGCAGCCTTAGAGGCCGGCCTGGAGATTAAGAAGTGGCATTACATAGAGTTAGACCCGGAGGTGCGTAAGATGGCGTGGAGTCATGCCAGGGCCCTGCAGGAGCGATATCCAGCGCAGCTGCGAAAGCAAGTCATAGTAGAGGCAATGAAGAGAGAGCATTGGGATGTAAGGGAGATCAGCAGGCAGGAAGTGAGGAGCTGGGGAAAGGTGGACTTACTGGTGGCCGGATGGGAGTGCCAGGGCACTTCTCGGGCAGGCAAGGGAAGAGGGCTGCAGGATGAGCGCACGGGGTTAATCAAGAAGCTCCTGGAGGTCATGGCCTGGATGAGGGAAGAAGGAGAAGAATACGCGTACATCTTGGAGCACGTGGATATGAAGGGCGATCCACGAGAACCGGTGCGAGCTGTGAGGGAGATGGTAGAGGCACAGCTAGGGAAGGGAGTGAGTTGGGATGCGGCCCTGCACGGAGCACGATGTCACCGGACACGGTGCTACTGGCAGAACGTGCTACCAGAGGAAGATCTGCGCGCAAGACTGTCCAGGGTGGAGAGGGATGATCGGAGGATAGTGGAGGACATCCTGGAACCCGGGCGAGTGGCAGCTCCAGTGTGGAAGCCAGATCATCCCCTGCAGCACCAGTGCAACAGGAGAGGAGAGGCACGACGAGCCTTGCCGACGCTGGTCGCCTACCCAGGAGCAAGGGGGTTCGTTGAGGCAGATGGCCAGCCTGGCCCAGGGATGATATATGACCACAAAAGGAAGAGGTGGGAGGAGCCGACAGCTTTGGAGAGAGAATTGGCTATGGGTTATCTAGCGGGAGCGACCGCAGCACCGGGTGTAAGTGAGGAGGCAAAGAGGGCAGCGGTGGGGAGAGCTATTGATCAGCACTCACTGAGATGGCTGATTTGCGAAATGAGGAAGGGGGCAAAGGGGCCTGGAGGTAAGAAGGCAGGGGGGGAAAGGGGGCTGCGGAAGCAGCCAGCGTACTCAGCGGTGGAGCTGAAAAAGGAAGTAAGGGCGGAGCCGAGGCAAGAGAAGCTGAATGTCAGCAAGGGGCCAGAGAAGGAATGGGAGATAGGGGCAGATGTGGAGGCAGGGGCTGCAGAGGCGATCAGGCAGCTGCTGAAAGCGCATAGGGGCACATTTGCATACAACTTGCAGGAGCTGGGGCAGTACAAGGGCGGGGAATTAGAAATAAAGCTCACGACGGAGATACCGACTTACCAGCGCAGGAGGCGCATGAATGCTGAAGATGCGGCCATCTGCAAAGAGAAGTGTGAGGAGCTGCTGGCAGCAGGAATCATCCGCCCATCCGAGTCTAGTTATGCAGCTGCCACGGTGGTCGCAGCCAGGAAAGATTTGACCGGCGCGGTTCTGTCACGACGGATGTGCGGGGACTACCGTGATTTGAATAAGATCACGGAGCCTGACCGCTATCCCATGCCGACAGCAGAGGATATATTTGACCTGCTGGAAGGGGCAGTCATTTTCACCACGCTAGACCTTAGGCAGGGGTTTAACCAAATTGCCATAAGGGAGGAGGACAAGCGCAAAACCGCTTTTCACGGGGTGGACGGATTGTATGAGTACAACAAGATGCCATTCGGCATGCGGAACGCATCTGCCGTGTTCCAGCGAGCAATGGATCAGGTACTGCGAGGCATACCAGCAGCAGCGTGTTACATTGATGATGTGCTGGTCTTGAGCAAAACGGACACTAGAAGCAATAGCAGCAGCAGGACTCACCTGCCACCCAGAGAAGTGTAAGATAGCAAGGCGGACGGTGGCGTCTCTGGGATTTGAGGTGAAAGGGGGCAGGCTGGGTATTCAGGAGGCGAAGGTTAAGGTGCTGGACAAGCTGGCGCCGCCGAAGGACAAGTCAGGGCTGAGAGCGTTGCTCGGCTTCCTGAACTACTACAGGAAGTTCGTGCCGAACTTCAGCCGGCGAGCGAATCTCCTGAATCAACTGCTCAGGGAAGGAAAGCGATGGGAGTGGGGACAGGAGGAAGAGGCGGCTAGACAGGATCTATTAGAGGCAGTACGGACAGGCACACTGCTACAGATACCCAGGGCAGATGCTCCCTTTACGCTTTACACTGACTGGAGCTGCATGGGGATGGGGGCAGTCCTGTGCCAGCAGATTGAGCGAGAGGAGCGAGTGGTAGCATTTGCCAGCCGCAGCTGCAGCCCCACCGAGGCAAATTATTGCTCGTATGAAGGCGAGGGGTTGGCAGCTGTATGGGGCATCAACCATTTCAGGGTCTACCTGCAGGGGCGTAGGTTCGTGCTGGTAACCGACCATCAGCCCTTGATGTGGCTGATGACAAACCAGGAACTGACGGGACGGAATGCCCGCTGGGCGATCAAGCTGCTAGGATACGACTTTGAAATTCGCCACCGCCCGGGCAAGACCCTCCAGCATGCTGACGGTCTGTCTAGGAACCCTCCACCTGTGCAGCCCGTGGCGCAGCTGGCAGCCGTAGCACAGGTGCCGGCAGCTGGCTGGGGGCAAGAGAAAGTTGAGAAGAGGCAGCTAGATGTCTGGGAGGATACCGAGACTCTGGAGTGGATTAAGAGAGGGAGCACGGAGGGCGAGGAGGCCAGTGAAAGGGCAAGGGCCAGGGGGCAGCACTACCATTGGTACCAAGAGCAGCTGCAGCTTCGCACCAGTGAGGGATGGAAGATAGTGCCACAAAAGAAGGACAGGGAAAGGATCATGCGACGGGTGCATGGGAAGCTGGGGCATTACGGAACGGCACGCACCAATCAACTGCTGAGCACGATGTACTGGTGGGCAGGGATAAGGAGGGACGTCAAGGAGCTGGTAGATGAGTGTGCAGCCTGCAGTCGTAACAAAGCAGCACTGGAGAAGGCAAGGGAGGAGCTGCAGTCACTGCCGATTCGGGGACTGGGCTGCCGCTGGTCGCTAGATTTGGCTGGGGAATTACCTCTGTCCAAGAAAGGCAAGCAATACATACTCGTGATGGTAGAGCACACTAGTAAGTGGGTAGAGGCCAGGGCACTGCCAAGCAAGAACAGTGGGCTGATTGCCGAGGCGTTCGTGGAGCAAGTGATCACCAGGTTTGGGGCGTGCGGGGAGGTGTTAACTGACCAGGGTACCGAGTTCAAGGGCTGCTTTGAAGAGACTTTGCAGGAGCTGCAGATCACTCACCGTGTGACATCAAGGTATCACCCGTTGTCGGATGGGTTAACGGAGCGGCTGATTCAGACGCTGAAGAGAGGGTTGCGGGCCTACGGGGAGACGAACAAGAGAGGATGGGACCAGGAGCTACACTGGATCCTTGCAGGTTATCGCTTTGCCAAGCAAGCGGCATTGAAGGACATGTCGCCCTACCATCTGCTGTACGGGAGGCACCCCATCCTACCCGTGGATGCACCGAAGTTGCTAAGTCCGACGGTAGATGCAGACGAGCCACACCTGTGGGCTGAGCTGGCTAGGAAGAGGGCGGCCTACCTGAAGGAACTGACGCCGGCAGCGCTGGACAACCTCCACGTGGCGCAGCTGAGGGACGCTAGACGTTACCAACAGAGGAAGGCAGGCGAGGAGGGATGCAGACGTAAGGGAGTAGAGACTGGGGAGGAAGTGTACCTGAGGCAGCCCAAGCGAGATACGCTAGACCTGCCAGTCGGACCAGAACGCTGGAAGGTGAAGGAGATGAGGCAGTCCGGGGTGCTGGTGCTAGAGGACGAGCGAGGAAGGCGCATCAAGGAGCACGTTACCAATGTGGCCGCGGCTGGAAAAGGGAAGGGTCAGGCTGAGGGTCCCGAAGCCAGAGTTGCCTGTGCTGGAACTCAGGCTCGGGAGGGGGCAGTGCAGCCTGAGAAACAAGGAGAAGGCAGGAGCAGCATCATCACATACACCAGGAGGAAGAAGAGGCAGAGAGGCGGCACTGGGACAGGCAAGCAGGCATGAGAGGATGAGGGTGAGAGAGGAGGTGGAAGTACCTGTTAGGAAGAAACAGGGAATTTGAGAAAGAGGAAGAGAAGAACAGTCGGAAGAGCAGAAGGAGGGGAGCTACTTCACGACAGCTGTCGCGCTATTAACACATAGCCTGCGGCTAAGTGTGAATTGCACAGCAGCTTAAGGTGAGGTTGTACTATATTGCTGTTTGGTTCTTGTACTCATACTTTCGTTTGTGTGCTTGGAATGTACTGTACATATATGGAGCCGAGCAGGGTGGAGAAGCTCGAGGAATTTGGTGGGGACAGGGTGGAATTCGATTCCAGGCTGGGAATTCGATTCCAGGCTGGGAATTCGATTCCAGGCTGGGAATTCGGTTCCAGGCTGGGAATTCGATTCAGAGAATGCAATTCCAGCTGGAAGTCGGTGCATGCCTAGTGGGCCACTAGGACCCAGCTAGCACCTAGAAGCTATCGCGAGCAGCACTGCTGCTATGCGACTTGGCAACTAGAGTTAGCTTGTGGGACAAGCAACCTAGGCAGAAGGATGGCTGGGACTTAGACAGGGGAGGATACCTGCTCCGTGCTTTTTGCTTGTTTGTTTCTCGTAATACTGCAATTCGTTTCCCAACCAAGGAGGCAAGCAGCTAGGAGAAGCTAACAGCAAACTGACGGAGCCCTTGCGAGGGAGGATTTAGACTTGTTGCAGCCTGAGAAACAAGGAGAAGGCAGGAGCAGCATCATCACATACACCAGGAGGAAGAAGAGGCAGACAGGCGGCACCGGGACAGGCAAGCAGGCATGAGAGGATGAGGGTGAGAGAGGAGGTGGAAGTACCTGTCAGGAAGAAACAGGGAATTTGAGAAAGAGGAAGAGAAGAACAGTCGGAAGAGCAGAAGGAGGGGAGCTACTTCACGACACCGGGCTTCCTTCGAAGGCGCTGCGGCCTTACAGGTGAACGGAAGTGGGGGTGTGCGAACTGGTGTGCTACAGCGCAGTACAGTGGCCGTGTTTTACTATGTGCCAGGCGTGTTTGATGGGGAACCGACGCTCACCTGTACGGCCAGAAAACTGGTGTGTTTTACTATGTGCCAGGCGTGTGGCATAACGGGATGGGAGGCCTACCAGTTTTCCGGCCGTACAGGTGAGCGTCGGTTCCCCATCTCTCCATCACACCCCTTCTCCCCCATCCTGCGGCCTGCCTCTGTGCGCCCCTGCCTCTGTGCGCCCCTGCCTCTGTGCGCCCCTGCCTCTGTGCGCCCCTGCCTGTGCCAGTATCGGGCAATGGTGTGTGTGTAATGGTGTGTGTGTAATGGTGTGTGATGCGTTCTCCATCCATCCCATTTTCACCCTCCCCCTTCCACTTACTCCTCCCCACCACCAGCTACATCAACATCACAAGAGAAGAAGACGGGGAGACCTTCACAGCGTACGGCACGGACAACGACAACCCTGACAGCCCCCCTGCTGACCCCAAGCGCACCGCCTACCGTTACGTTACCGCGTCGCTGCTCGCTGGTTACACCTACCGGTTCACGATCATCCCTGCCCCCACCAACAGCCTCTTCTACCCCACATGGGCTCAGGTGATTGACTGTGACTGTGACTGACTGAGTGTGAGAGTGGGAGTTTGAGTACACGTAAGGCCAACCTGTCTCGCTTCTCCATGTTACCGCGTCGCTGCTGGCTGGATACACTCACCAGTTCACCATTGGGCCTGCCCCTACCAACAGCCTCTTTTACCCCACCTGGGCTCAGGTGATTGACTGTGACCGAGTGTGAGTGTGAGTGTGAGTGTGAGGGTGAGGGTGAGAGTTTGAGTACACGGGCGTAAGGCCAAGCTGTTTTTTTAGAATTCTCAAAACACAGATTCTTTCTTAGCTTAGGTTACCGCGTCGCTGCTGGCTGGGTACACTCACTGGTTCACCATTGTTTCCAACCAGCAGCGCGCCCCCACCAGCATTCTCGTCCACCCCACCTAAACTCATGTGTGTAGGGTGTAGTTGAGGGAGTGAGAGTGAGTGAGAGGGATTGTGGTTGAGTGTGAGTGCACATGGCTGGATAAACTTACCGGTTCTCCATTGTGCCTGCCCCCAACAACAGCCTCTTCCACCCCACCTAAACTCACGTGTGAGAGTGAGACAGTGAGTGTGAATGAATGAGTATGAGTGAGTGATAGTGAGTGAGTGTGAGTGGGTATAAGTGAGCGTGACTGCGTGTCCATGTCTGAGTAAGTGTGAGTCGCTCAGTGTTATTGAGCGTGATTGACTAGTGTGAATGAATGCATTTCCCTTCCTCTCCTCTCCTCTCCTCTCCTCTCCTCTCCTCTCCTCTCCTCTCCTCTCCTCTCCTCTCCTCTCCTCTCCTCTCCTCTCCTCTCCTCTCTTCTCCTCTCCTCTCCTCTCCTCTCCTCTCCTCTCCTCTCCTCTCCTCTCCTCTCCTCTCCTCTCTTCTCCTCTCCTCTCCTCTCCTCTCCTCTCCTCTCCTCTCCTCTCCTCTCCTCTCCTTTCTTCTCGTCTGCTTTCATGTTTGACCACGGTAATGTGCATACAACAAGAATGTTTGTACGTGAGAGTTGAAGGGACAAGATGAAATCATTTCTTGAGGCCTCAAAAACAATCCTCCCCTCGCATATCATCTTCTCTCCTCTTTCTCTCTCGCTTCATTGCTGACTGCAGCTGTGGCCTTACGACAAGGGTATGTTTTTTGAGAATTCTCAAAAAACATATGCAGCTGTGGCCTTACGACAAGGGTGGCTGTGAGGAAGGGCTGAAATTCAGGATGAAGTCAAATTTTTAGGCACCTCAACAACAATGCTCTCCTCGCCTCTCCTCACGATCAAGGCACCCAAACAGCAGTACTCTCCCCCCCTGTCCTCTCCTCTCCTGCTGCTGACTGCAGCTGTGGTCGTACGACAAGGGCGGCTGTGAGGGGGGCCTGAAGATCAAGATGGTTGCTAGAGACCAAACCACTCAATGGTTCGCCACCGATGCTCCCAACCTGTGAGTCTCCCCTTCTCTTCCTCTCTGCTCTCGATGCTTTGCACTCTCTTCCCCACTTTTGAGGCGCCTCAAAAGCAACCGGGGGGGTGTTGAAGGTCAAGATGGTTGCCATAGACCAAACCACTCAATGGTCTCAATGGTTCGCCACCGATGCTCCCAACCTGTGAGTCTCCCCTTCTCTTCCTCTCTGCTTTCACCCTGTCATTCACCTCCCTCTGCCCATCCTGACTTATGCTCCCAGCATGCAAATCTCTTTGCCTTATTCCACCCCCAGCCCCTGCCGGTGAGTCTTCTTTGCTCTCTCTTCCCCAATTGTGCACACCGGGGGGGGGCCTGAAGATCAAGATGGTTGCCAAAGATCAAATCAAACCACTCAGTGGTTCGCCACCGATGCGGAGTCTCGTTCGGCTATCCCGAACCTCCCCCAGTCTTTGCGTATTGTTGGCATATACTGAACCTCTTTACGACCTGTGCTCCTTTTTTCATATCCCGGCCCTCTTCCCAACCTTTTCTCAAGCTGTGTGTTTCATTGCCCCTCTCATTGCCCCTCTCATTGCCCCTCTCTCCTCATCTGCTTTCCTTCATCCTTCCCCCGCCTGCCCTTTCACTTTTGTCCCCTCTTCCTACCAGCCCGGCACAGGAGCCCTCAAATACAAGACCTACAGGGAGTATCTCTGCCACTCCTCTTCCTCCTCATCCTCCCCACCCCTCGTCCTCTGTTTCCTGTTCTCTCCCATTTCCCCCAGCCCGTGCACAGGAGCCCTCAAGTACAAGACCTACAAGGAGTATCTCTGCTCTTCCTCCTCCTCCTCCCCGCCTCTCCTGCAACTCACGGTCGGCGCCACCAGCTACGGCGCGCTCGCCACCATGACGCTCAACACCTCCTCGCCCGCCTCTTGCTCTGCGTGAGTCCCGCCCTCCCTCCCTTTGTTCGAGCTCCTTTCTGGTAATTAGTGTTGCTCTCCTGCAACTCACGGTCAGCCCCACCAGCTACGGCGCTGATGAACGCTCCGGCCGAAATGCGCGTACGCCTCAGAATGACTAGTTGACTACTTGTCTTCTACTCTGCCTGTTTTTTCAAGCTCTACCTAGACTACCCCTAGTACGCGGAGAATAGTCTTAGTGTTTTCTCACTGAACGCGCGAGATCTGTAGGCTTGCTCCGGTCGAACCTCTTCCTACTCTTGCACGAGCTCCTTTCTGGTAGTCACTGTTTCTCTCCTGCAACTCACGGTCAGCCCCACCAGCTACGGCGCACTCACCACAATGAAGCTCAACGCAATGGCCCCGTCCTCTTGCTCTGTGTCTATCCCACCGGGTCCACCCGGGCCCACCCGCACCTCTTGCATTGCATTCGCTTCTGACAATTCTCATGTTCCTGGCCCATGCCCCTCTTGTAATGAGTCGTGTTTTGAGTCGACTCCAAACACGACTCATTGCATTGGCCGCTGACAGTTCTCGTGTTCCTGGCCCATGCACCTCTTTTCATATATTCACTATTGTAACAAGCCAACTTTCGTTGTTGCAGCCCGACCCGTTGTCGTTGTTGTAACGAGCCCTTAGTCGTTGTTGTAACGAGCCCTTAGTCGTTGTTGTAACGAGCCCTTAGTCGTTGTTGTAACGAGGCCTTGGTCGTTGTTGTAACGAGGCCTTAGTCGTTGTCATAACCAGCCCATTGTTGTCACAACCTTGGGTCACCTGATTTTGCTCCTATGATTGTGTGCTGCGTGCATTTTCGTACCCAATGGCAGCGCATGTTCATAATGTGGGCTGGACATTCTTCAACCCAGGCAGTTTCCACGGTACCGTATATGTTTAGGATGTGACTGCATAGTTCGTTCCAGAACTGTGTGTATAGTGTTGACACTTTCTTGTGTTGAATGTTACCTGTTTTAAATTGTTTTTATGAGGTTTGGGGGTAACATTTCAATATGTTTTTGTACTTCACACTCTACTCAAAATCATGCATCTGCATCCTTTACGCTAGAAAAAGGCTTACTAGTGCTGTCTGTAACCCACCCTCCCTGTCCTGTATCCATGCTCTTTTCTCGGGTCGCTTTCTCTAGCATGGTCCTCGTTTTCTTGATCTTCATTTGCCAACTCCAATATAGCCCAATTACCTTTCAAACTTCTCCATAATGCTAGACCTACAATTAGGCCATCTGCTGTTGTAGTGATATTACATGGTACACTGCAGTATAAGCTGGTTCTTGAAACAAGTTCAGTTTTGGGTTGAGGTTCTTCCCTCCCCAATTCCATACACCTGTCCCGCGCTAATTTCAATTCCCGGCAATTTCAACACCCTTGTCTCGACCTGTGGTCCTGGGCCGAGCACGGTTAGACCCAGGACCTCTCGATAAAGCTCGGAACCGATTACAACGCTTGTATCACGGTTTTGGGCATTACGGAACCGATTGAAACCGCGCTGAGTATCGGAACTTCTCTGTTCCGGGCAATTTCAACATGAGGGCTAAACGACAAAGACGCGATTCGGCTCTCAGGTGTTGAAATTGGCGAGGGAGAGGTGTATCTAGCTGACTTTCCCTCACCAGTTCGTTTGCTTGTCCTTCCGCTTCATTCCCCTCTCCCCCCATTCGTCCCCCTCATGCACCCATCACTAATTCCGGACCGGAACCAATCTGAATCTTGAGCCGGGAATTGCGAACTCCCATCTGAAACTTAGTGCAAATGCAGCTTTGTCTGTACAGCACACTGTGCGCACTGTACAGTTCACATGCAATTGAATCGTTGACTTTAGTCTGGATACGATTCCTCGTCAGTGTCTTCAAGCACACACTGTTGCGTGTCGACAGCATCGGATGAACGACGACGAGACCCCTCCCTAACTTTGTTGACGGTCACTTCGGTTCGGTTTACCCTACAGCTCGTCCTTTGTGTGTGTGTGTGTGTGTGTGTGTGTGTGTGTGTGTGTGTGTGTGTGTGTGTGTCTGTGTGTGTGTGTGTGTGTGTGTGTGTGTGTGTGTGTGTGTGTGTGTGTGTGTGTGTGTGTGTGTGTGTGTGTGTGTGTGTGTGTGTGTGTGTGTGTGTGTGTGTGTGTGTGTGTGTGTGTGTGTGTGTGTGTGTGTGTGTGTGTGTGTGTGTGTGTGTGTGTGTGTGTGTGTGTGTGTGTGTGTGTGTGTGTGTGTGTGTGTGTGTGTGTGTGTGTGTGTGTGTGTGTGTGTGTGTGTGTGTGTGTGTGTGTGTGTGTGTCAGATAAAGCATGGGTGACAATGGAAGCGAAGCGTTTACGAAGAGGGCCCATTGAACTGGTCGCCCGCAAATACTGTATCTCGAAGCACGTGCAGTGGCAGTCCGGTGCTGCCAACAACACATGCAGAGCAGCACCGCAACGAACCCATCCGTCCATTAAAGCTTTCGTATACATTTGCAAGTACTGTTCACGGTTGCACAGTATCCCAAAAAAATTCGCTCAAACGAAACCAAATGAGGGTGGCGAGAGGTTTTGCGAAAACTTGCACCTTTGAGGGTTCCAAACACGGGAAACTCCCCCGTCACCCAACCTTGCAGTGACTCACCAGCCGAAGCATAGATAGAGGAACCGAGGCTAGCGGTTTGCATCACGACGCTGGGTCGCCGCACTCGAGTAAGCCGTCACGCGATTGATAATTTAGGGGCCGTGTTCACTGAGCGGATGCGCGTTTCATGCGTTGGCCACGCCGCCACTCTCAACACTCGCTAGGTGGCCTCTCCCGCTTGGCTCCTCACCCGCTGCGCGCCTTTCCCACTTAGCGCCTCACCCGATGCGCACCATGGCCCTTTATCGCCGAACCCGCTGCGGCGCCTCAGCCCTTAGGGCGTGTGACATTTTTCCTTTGTTTTGTCCGGACGTCCAGCCGTTCGGACGGTTGTGTGGTTACCAGAATCCTTCCAGCTCGCCAGCTAGCTCGTCCAGAATCGAAACGACGTCGTATGTGTCGCCTCGCGTCCTTACCACGTCGCAGGGTACGGGAGAAGCAGGGTGAAAGAGGGAAAGGGAGATAGGGAAAAAGGGAAGCAGCGCGGGTAGAAAGAGGGAAGAAGGGTGTAGGGAAGATAGGGGAAAGGGGAAAGCAGGGCGTAAGGCAGAGAAGAGAGAGGGGGAAGCAGGGTGTAGGGAAGAGAGGGAAATGGGGTTTAGCAGGATATAAGGGGGAGAACGCATGGTGGGAGAAGAAGGGTGTGGAGTAGAGAGGGGAAAGGTGGAAGAAGGGAGTCAGGCAGAGTGGAGAATAAATCAAGAGGGGTGTAAGACAGAGAGGGGAAAGGAGGTAGAAGGGTATAAGGCAGAGAGCGGAGAGGGGAATGAAGGGTGTAGGGACGAGAGAGTAAAGGGGGAAGCAGGGCGTAGGAAGAGAGGAGCTAAGAGGGAGAAAGGGGGTAGGTGAGCTTGAGAAGGGGGGGGGGGGGGGGGGGGGGATGAGACGGAGAATGGGGAAAAATGAGAAGGAGAAAGGTGGGACATGAGAGGGGGGAGGGGGGTAGACGAGAGGGGGAAGGGGGGAATCGAGAGGGAGAAGGTGGAGAAACGAGAGGGAGACGGGGAGGCGGGTAGGGAAAACGAGGGGGCGAGAAGGGGAAACGGGGAGGCGGGGAGGGATAATGGGGAGCGGGAAGGGGAAACGGGAAGGTGGGATGGGGAAACGGGGAGCGAGAAGGGGAAACGGGGAGCGGGAAGGGGAAACGGGGAGCGGGAAGGGGAAACGGGGAGGTGGGAAGGGGAAATGGGGACCGTGAAGGGGAAACGCGAATGTGGGAGAGCGGGAATGCGAAACGGGGAGGCGGGAAGGGGAAATGGGGTGCGGGAAGGGGAAACGCAAATGTGTGAATGGGATACCGGGAGCGGGAATGGGAATCGGGGAGGCGGAAAGGGGAAATGCGCGGCGGGAAGGAAAACCGGGGAGGCGGGAAGGGGTAATCATGACACGGGAAGGGGAATTGCGGTGGAGGAAAGGGGAATTGGGGATGCGGGAAGGCAAGGGGAAATGGGGAAAGAGGGAAGGGAAGATCGGAACAGGGAGGCAAGAAAGGGAGATCGGAAGGCAGAAAGTGAGAATTCGGAGGCACTAACGCGAGATACGGAGCCACGCAGGCGAAATAGGGAGGCGAAAAGGGGAGATGGGAAGGCGCTGGGAAGGGGAGAAGAATTGGCTGGTCAAGGAGACCGTTTCGGCAGTCCGTCGCGACCTCAAGTGCGGCTGCCGTGGCTAGTGCGGAAACGGGGTAACAAAGCTGCGCGAGCGGGAGGCGACTGTGATCGTGCGAGATCCCGCTGTTCGGCAGTTTCAGATGCAGCGTGCGTGTTCAAGGAGGTGTGAGGAGGCAGCGAGGTGAGGCGATGCGACGCCGCGACGGACAACGAGGCGAGGCTAATGAAAGGAGGTCCGTTGTGATCGGCTCGGCGAGGTGACTAGAACCGGCGCCGGCTAGGCCACAAGCAGCGGTTTGATGCGGCGCGACGAGAGTGGTAGGTGGAGGGATGCCGCGTTTGAAAGCTAGCGGGCGCGGCTAGTGCTATTTCAATGTCGAACGCGTGTGATGCGGGAGAGGCGAGTGTGAGAGGGCGGAACTGGCGTTGGTGCGGACGCGTAATGACTCTATACGTCTAGTTACGTCGCTGTTTGTGTCGGAAACGGGGTTCTTTGCGCTGGTTGTTGAATCGCGATCTGCTTATCTACGTAGTTTTCGGCCTATCGTGCGTAGTGGCCTAGTTCTGAGAAACATGGTAATTTGTATCCTTTTGTTGTTTCAAAAGTTTTGAACCAGCAGTCACTGTGGTCTGTCTTCCTGGCCTAGATCAACGACTCAAACATGTGCCTTTCATTCCCACACACAACACGAATCACATTTTACAGCGCCACTGCGTTGTCTTGTCCTCACTTTGGGCGGCTCGGAAGCTTCCGATTTCCCCGGGATTTGCACCCTTGCTGAAGCACGCTCTAAAATACCTCAGGCTTACCGCATTAAAAGACCACCCAATCCGAGCTCGAGGTTCAGTCCTCCTGTCCTTCCCTTGTCCGCTTCTGTACAGCTAGACGCCACGACAGAGATGCCGCCTCATGGAGTTCTTTCCGTGCGAGAGGCTCGCTGTAAAATCCCGATGACAGATGTAGGAATCCGTGAAAGACTTTCTGCATTCCCATGTCAGATTTTGGCCGGTTATCTGGCAAAACTCGGGCGGTTGCTGCAGCGTGAAGCTCTTCTAGTTAGTCGACAAGACAAAGCGCGATTGAAAAAGCTGCACGTGAGGCATTGTCGCGTACGCATTGTAGCGCGTTGGTGCACATAATACAGCTAATTACAAGCGCGTTTGTCGCTTGCGCCGCCGCACACTGCCAGCGTGACATTTCCGAAATGATTCTGATGGTGCAGCAAGTCCGGATCTGAAGGCCGGTTCTCCCCCCAGCCAGACTCGCCGCCGCATCTGCCACCGTACGATCGTTGTGTTGACGCTTGCCGCGACGCGACGGAACAAAACAACCTGCTGCAGGAGCATCGGCATTGGCCGCGCTATTATCCGAAAGGCCAGCTGTTTGATTCTTCCGCTGCTCCTCTCGCTCCTCCCGATTCACTTTCTCGTTTCGCTGCTCCCCTGCTACTCTCGCGACTTCTTTCGCTGCTGCTTCATCCGAAAAGCTACCGTGAGAATGGAGGAAAGAACAAGAGATTTCGCGCAAATGCCGGAACAGCTTGAAGCAGGGAATCAAACGCTGCACTCATGGCAGTCGGGGCAGTCGCAGCCGCTCTCCCGAGCGCGAAACGCGGCAGGGTCGGAGCCATCGTCGCCCCACTCTGCTCCCGCCGCTGCCTTATCCGGCTTGGAGCGCATCGTCACGCGGTTCCCGTCGCTGCCACGAGGCGACACGGCCGCAGCGCCGCCTCCGCCGCCGCCGCCGCCGTCGTATCACGGAGAGTTCCCGGCCTCGGCAATGGACGACGAGTCGCACCGCATGATGGTGCAAACGATGATGGCTTTTGAGACGTCTCAGAGGCAAGTAATGATGACAATGGCAGCATTTGACGACGCCGTGGCAGCGGCTTTCTCAAGATCATCTCTTCAACAAGATTTCTGTGGCGGCGCTTCCGGCGCAGGTGGCGGCGCTTCCGGCGCAGGCGGCGGCTCTTTGCTATTCGAGTCTCGAACTGCTGCGGCGGCAACTGCTGCTGCTCCATGCGCGCCGCCGCTGAACGGCGAAAGAGAAGATCTTGGCGACATTTCGCAGTGGTTACAGGCGGTCATGATGGGAGAGTCGCACGGAGTCGCAGGGGGGTTCGCTCCAGGGGGGTTCACAGCCGGTGCTAGTACAGCTGGTGCAGTAGCCGGTGCTACAGCTGGCGCCACAGCCGAATGTTTCAGAGGCAGTTCTGGCATGGAGAGAATGCAGATGATGGCGTCTTTTATGGCCGCTAACTCGGAGGAGGATGGGGAGGAGGAGGGGGAGGGGGAGGGAGAAGAACGGGCGGGTGAGGATGAGGAAAACCAGGGGAGGGAAGGGGAGGAGGGAACAGACGACGTGATGATGAAGCAGGGAGATGGTGGGGAGGGAAGGGGGGGTGTGAAGGAGGGGAGAGAGAATGGACGAGCGGCGGCATGGATGGCGGTTGATGGTCCCAATGCTGCTGGCCCTCCTGCTGCTGCTGCTTTTGCTGCTGCCGCATCTGCTTCTGTTGATGGCGCTGCAGCTGCTGCTGCTGCTGCTGCTGCTGCTGCTGCTGCTGCTGCTGCTGACACTCCTGCTTTTGTTGCAGGGGGGTTTGTGTTTGGGGAGAGAGGGGGCATGCAAGCAGCCGATGGTGGTGCTGGCAGTGGTGATGCCGACAGTGCTGGTGGTGCTGCTGCTGATGGTGCTGCTGCTGGTGGTGCTGCTCGTGCTGGCAGTGATGGTGGTGGCGGTGGTGGTGGTGGTCTCACTAACAGTGCTGGTGCCGGCAGTGGTGGGCGGCACAGGCAAGGGCAGCAGGCAAACATCAAGCCGAGGTCGGTGCGAGAGCGGCGCAGGAGAGAAAGAATCAGGTAAAAGCCAATAAGCTGCCCCGTTGTAGCTGTGCCAGACTCTGCCTTGGTTGCCCCACGTACAAATGGCATTGGCACATGATGCCTTACCGACCCTTTTTGCATGCTCTCTGCCCGCTAACCCTCCTCTACCTCTCTTTCTGCTGTTTCGGAAGGAAGCAAAGTCGTAAAGTTTCAATGCATTCTGCGCGCACGTGCCTGATAACAATCCTTCTGCCCCCTTTTTCTCTATCCTCTCCGCTTCCTCTTTGCTGCATGTTCCCTTGTTTCAACGTTTCCCGTGGCAGTGAGTCACTGAAGCGGTTGAGAATGACTGTGCCTTTGGACCTGCTGGGTCCACACCAAGACCTGGGATCCATGATAGAAGGAGCCGTCAACTACATTGAAGTCATGCAGGTACACTACTTGTTAGCCGCTAAGCTTCCTTGTCAAAAAGGTATGCTAGCTGTGAAGCTTCTTGCTGGACATGCGGGTCCCTTGGCAGTTGAATGCAAGACCTGGGATAGTAGGAGCCGTCAACTGCATTCAAGTCGTGCAACAGGACAATACTCAGCAGGTAGATTGAGAGTGGTAAATTGGCAGTGGTCGATTGGCATTGGAGCATACGGCAGTCAACGTCTCTGGTGTTTCGTATTCTTGCTCGGGTGTGTGCACACCTGTCTTTGTCCCCGCAGATGAGACTGTCAGAGCTGCAGCAGCGAGTGCTGGAGGGGGAGATCAGAGCACGCCTCAACAGGTAGATTTTGCCAATGGCGGCTCTGGCGCACCATACAGTTGGTCAACGTGTGTGTTCTAGCCTCTCTGGTGTATCTTGGTCCTACTCTGTGTGCACACCTGTCTTTCTCCGTCAACCCAGATGAGACTGTCGGAGCTGCAGCAGCGAGTGCTGGAGGGGGAAATCAGAGCAAGGCTTAACAAGGTAGATGGGCAGTGGCCTGTACGACCGGATAGTATGGCCAGCTTGTGTAATAGTATCAGATTGCTCGTACTGCAACTGTTATATAGTTATATATAGAGGGGCAGAGAGAAAGCTGTACTAGAAGCTTTTCGGTGCTCTTTGTTAGCTACGTGTGGTGTGTTGCAAGAAAGGTCGTTCTGTCGTGAGTCCATGCAAGTGGTACTGTGCAACAGTGCCCTAGATATCAGACTTTGGAGTCTGAATCAGAGTCCGTTCAGACTTTTTTTTTGTACCTAGTCTGAACTCCAAGAATTTATTTATGTACCTTGTCTGATTTTCCAGAGTTTTTTCTTATGAGTTGTCTGAAATTTCAGCCTAATTTTACTAGGGTAGGCTGAGCCTCAGACTTGTATCGGGGGTACACTCTGCGCGCTTATCGGAGGAAAGTTTCCTGGAAGTTTCCTTCCGATATGCCCACTTCCGAGATGGCAGTGGAGTGCCAGGACGTGAGCAACGCTCACTTCGACAGCTGGGACATCCAAATACACTCGTTCGTCGAGAATATCTTCCAGTTTCGCTGAGGAAATGGTTGCGTGATTACGAGATTTCTGAAGACAAAATCTCGTCACATGTAAGTTATCGCTAATGTATTGTAAAGAATAGGCGACTTTGATGCTGATTCGCTGTAAAAACATCTGCAGCACGCACTGGTGTGAATTGCGAAGTTCCTGATTCGTACTGAAAGTTTCGTGTGGCACTTGTCTGATCCTCACATGCCACGCCAAGCAACAGTTCTGCCTGCTGCCAGCTCAGCTGCGTGGCACTTGGCCCACCTGATACAGATCGGGTGAACGATCGAATCGCTTGAAAAGCAAATCCAAAACTGACAAAATCGGCACACATGCGAGAAAATGGGTACAGAACGGTAATCACACACACGACAAAACGAAATGAGATCAGCAGAGCAGAAACAACCATGCGCTGCACGTGACAAAAACACTGGAACGCCGCCGACATGAGCAGAGGCGATGCACGAGCACGAGCACGTTGCCTGATGCGTTGGTATGGTAGGCTGTAATCAGCCTCAATGCTATTATAACTGCTTTTACGAAACTGCATGAACATCTTAAAATTTGAAGTAACTCTGACAGTTCAGACAAAAAAAAATGTGCTTGTCTGAATTTTCAGACTAAAATTTTGAGGCACCTCTGACAGACAGAGTTCCAGGAGGGGTGTACTCTGAGGCCTCAGACTACCTCAAAACGAATCTAGGGGCCTGCTGTGCAACAGTAGTACGGTAGCATAAGAAATCACAAGAAGCACTGTCAGGGGGGAATTGGTCATGGAGTCAATGGTGCATGACGCAATCCCCCTTGGGATTGGAGCGAAAACATCACATAACTACTACCGGTAACAGAATTTCTACGTATATGCTGGAGCCATCAGTCTAAGTAGCCATGAGGCATGATGATGTGATGATGATCATTAAAGCATGATCAAGTGATATCGGGCTTACAGGCTTGTACCGTATCCCGCAATGTAGGGTGTAAAGGTGGGAGGGGAGCTGGGGAGCAGCAGCAGCAGCACAGGCATTGAAGCTGGGGTCGGGCACTGGTACTATGCTGACACTGCCCTGAGCTGCATATCACCGCTCCCAACCTTCTCCAATCTAGCTGCAGGCATTGAAGCTAGGTTCCGCATACTGGTACCACACCCCGAGCTTATTATTCGCTACGATCTTCCCCACCCCGCAATCGTCAGGGTCGTGGAACATAATACACTTTCCGCCGCACTCCCCGTTGGCAGCGCTGTTGGCAACGTAGGCCCAGAGGTTGCAGTAGTCTGCCTGCTGGACTTGTGTTGCAAGGCACTGCTGCTGGCACTGCTTGTAGGAGGGCAGCCGCACCATTCCTGTTATGTGCTGCAGGTTGTCTCGTAGACCAGGCACCTGTTTGGGGGGAGGGGGAGAGGAGGAGAGAGAGGACGAGGGTTGTTAAGGCGAGACACTGCTGCTGGCACTGCTTGTAGGAGGGGAGCCGCACCATGCCTGTTATGTGCTGCAGGTTGTCCCGTAGACCAGGCACCTGTTTGGGGGGAGGGGGAGAGGAGGAGAGAGAGGACGAGGGTTGTTAAGGCGAGGCACTGCTGCTGGCCCTGCTTGTAGGAGGGGAGGCGCACCATTCCTGTTATGTGCTGCAGGTTGTCGCGCAGACCAGGCACCTGCGGGGAACACAAGGGAGTGGGATTGGCTAATGAGTGAGTGGCGTGGATTACATTCGCAGGTGCCGGCGTGCAAAGATGAAGAGAAGTTACCCAGCGACATAGCACCAGAGGTAGATGTTACCTTGTCGAGGGCCGCGCACGGAGCACACTGGTTCTTCCTCCCCGTCGCCACGAACCCCGGCGAACACGCCCTGCAGCTGCTCAACCGCGTGTAACCCGTCACGCACGTCGCACACGCCGTTTCGTTGTCCCACCGTCGCACACACTGGCAGCTTGGGGTGAAATCCGCGTTATAAACACAAGTCCCGTGCCCGTTACAGTCGTTAGCGCACCCCGTGCAGCCCTTGCAGTTGGCTCGGATCTTCAGCCCCGGAGCGCGATCCACATTCGCAGGCGCGGACATGCTGCAGAAGCTCACCGAGCCTGTTCCCGAGCCTGCCGCGAGCTGCCGAACCGCAATGTCGCCGGCTTGGGAGCGCATGTTGTTGTGGTTACTAGCAAAGGAGGTGGAGCAGAGGGAGAGTGTGGTATCTCGAGAGGAGACTAGGATGGCCCCTCCCCCGCTGTCGGCGCCGTTGTTTCGGCCTGTGGGCGGCTGAACCGCGACGTTTCTAAAGAAAGTGGATTTGACTATAGTGATGCTCTTGGCCGTCGTTGCTATGGCGCCGCCGCCCACCACTGCATGTGACAGCAGACAAGGTGACAGTAGAGGGGGAAGAAGGATGGATTTGACTATAGTGAGGCTCTTGGCCGTCGTTGCTATGGCGCCGCCGCCCACCACTGATGGCAGGTAAGAAGGGCAAAAGGGGAAAAAAGAGGGAAATGTGGAAAAGGGTACACGGGAGCAAAGGGGAGAGAGAGGGAAAGGGGGGATATAAAGGAAAGAGGAGGAGATTATGGTTAGATGCGGGGTCACAGGACAGGCGGCAGGGCAGGGGGCAAGAAAAGGGCAGGTAAGGAAGCAGGAAAGGCGGCAAGAACTTTGCAAAGATCGCAATATTCCCTTGTCAACTCGTCCCTATCCCTGTTCGCCTGTCTGAACACGAGCCATGTCAACAGCAACACTCACGAGCATAGTTCTTCTCGAATTTGACGGAATTCATGTAGAATACATTATCCTCGCTATAGATCGCCCCGCCCTTGCCCTTCTCCGCGCGGTTCCCGCGGAACGTGCACCCCGCCAGCTGCACGCGCGGGCCGCCCACGGGCTCCTGCCCCACGTTGATCGCGCCGCCGTTGCCGCTCTCCGCGGTGTTGTTGATGAACTCGCAGAAGGTGAAGAGCAGCGCGCCGGACGTGGGGGAGGCGGCGCGGGAACTGCAGAGAGAGGCGGAAGGGCAAGCGCAAACGGGGAAGGGAGAGGTGAGAGAGGGGTAAAAGCTAAGACTTGCTGGGTGCAAAGAGGTTTCTTGCGGCGGCGGTGCTGTTCACGAACTCGCAGAAGATAAAGAGCAGCTCCCAGCCTCCAGCCCCTAGGGCCCACTGCTACTAGTTCCCTTCCCGCCTTCCCGCCACTAGCTGGGTACTCACTTGACCACGGCGCCACCGCCGGTAGTGCGCGCGACGTTGTTGATGAACATGACTCGGCGCGCCGTGACGGCGCACCCTCCGGTGTGCACGCCGTTGACGGCGTTGCGCACGGTGACCTGCTCCAATGAGATGAAGCAGTTGAAGCCGCCGGAAAACACGGCGTACTTGTGCCGCCCGTCGATCACGCACTTGGCGGAACCCGCGCAGCTGCCCTTGACCGCCACTCCCGCGTTGAATCCGAGAGAAGGTAGCGGCCTGCGCGGATGGGGCAAGGGCGAGATGGGGAAAACAATAAGAAACGGCACGGCTAGTCTTGAGCTGGTACCCTGCAGTGCATGGTGATTCGGTGGAATCCAGGCAAGCAGCGGCGTACTTAGTTAGTAAGACGTCGGACGTGAGGTGGACGGTGATGGTCTTGCGCTGCGAGTTTGCCGTCTCAATCGCGTCGCGAAGCATGTCCTCCGCGTTCCGCCCGCTCGCCGCCATCGTCCCCGCCGACAGCTCCTCGAAGCTTCGCAGAAGCTGCCGGTCGCTTTCCTCACGGCGCCTGGACACGTCGCGATGCGGACCGCGGACTAGAGAAGCGACGGGAACTGCGTCAGAATCGGCGGCGGAGATTGCGGGGAAGAGAGCGACGCAAATTACGAGGACGAGGACGTGGAGAGGAATGCGATTAGAGCGGACTGGCTTGACGCGCTTCGCCGAAGAGCAGGAGGAGGAGGCAGAGGCGGCGGAGGAGGAGGAAGAGGAGGAGGTAGGGGCCGATTCAGTGTGGTTTTCCCCGCAAGTGAAGGAGTTTGAGGAGGAACTGGAGGTTTGGAAGGCACGTACGCGAGAGAGTGAGGAGATTAAGACATCAACTCTGAGTAGCGATGCCATGGCCTGTATCGACAAGCGCAACGTGCTATAACGGGTGAAGATGATAACGTGGCAGAGCGAATATTGGTGCGGGAATCAGGGAGAGAATGCTCTTTGCGGAAGGTGCGGATACTAGGCCCACTTGGCGTTACTGCAGTGGCGGCTGGCGAGGATAGCAACCTATTGCTCAACGAGTAATGTGCTTTAGATTGGTCTTTACTTGCGAGCTAC